GTAGTTCAGCCTGCTCAAAGCAGGAGCAACACTGAATTCAGATCAAGTTGCTCAGGGCTTTACCCATTAAGGTCTTTGAAATCTTTGGGAACAGAGATTCCATAGCTTTTCTGGGCAGGAATGACTGCATTTGACTGTCCCCATGGTAATTATTTCTTTTTCCTTATACCAAGCTTTATTTTCCTTATACCAAGTTTGATTTGAGCCCATTGTCTATTTCACACGATTGTAGACCTCTGAAAGGGTATTACTCTGTTTTCTTGACAACCTCCTAATAGGTATTGCTATTAGGACCCCCTTGCCTGTTCTCTAGGCTGGACAAACCCATTCTCTTTCCTCAGTTCCAAATTGTAGCGCAGGTGTGTGCTCCACCCTGACCATCCTCTTGCATTTCAAAGAGCGCCCTTCAAGTTTCTAACTGTCTTTCATGTGTTTGGGATGTAGTGTGTCCAAGACTGGATGTACTGTTCTAAATGTTTATTGGAACAGGTTTCCAAGGGAAGTAGTTGGGTCACCATGCTAGAGGTCTTCAGAAAATATGTAGATATGGTGCTTAGTGACATGTTTTAATGTTGGCCTTGGCAGTGCTTGTTAAAGGTTGTTAAAGGTTGGCCCAGATGATCTTAGAGGTCTTTTCCAACCTAAATGATTCTATGATTCTAAATACACTCTGAAAGGTGCCAAGGAAAGAAAAAAAAATGCCCTTCCCTTAATCTACTGTTTACTCTCCTGTTAATACATCTGAACATGCTGCTAGTCTTCACCTCTGACAGGGCCTACTGTGGACTTACGTTTAGTTTGCTTTACCCCAGAAGCTGTTGGGTCTTTTCCACAAAGCTGCTATATTTGCCCCTCTCCCTGATGAAAATGCTGTGGAGACAGAATATACTTTCAAACAGCAATCATAAAATATTCTTCAAAAGCATACATCTTGGCCAAGTACAAATTCACAAGAAAGAAGAAAACAAAACAAAAATAAAAAAAGCCACATCTGATTAAAACAAAGAAAAACCCACATTACACACATTTCTTCTTTCAAAGCAGAGTCTCCTGACCTTTCCAAAGAAAAATACTCAAATCATTAAAAGAACAATTAAAGCAATGCATTTTCCCTAATCTCATCTTTAGAGCATCAGAACTTTAGGGGTTGAAGTTGTCCAAGACAATTCATCCTGACATAAAACAGATACAGCAGTATAAGCTTGGCAATGATATGGGACAACTGAAATTAAGTTCCTAGAATGGCAGAAGCTGAGCAACTTGAGAAATGATCAGAGGCAGAAGGACCTCGTGTGTGACTGCACATTACATAACATACATATTTTCATTTTAATATATAAATTGCATGTTTCAAAGCAGCTATGTTATCTGCCAACTGCGCATCATTAACATAGAAAACATAGAATATCCAGAGTTGCAAGGGACTCACAAGAATTACTGAGTCCATATGTCTGAGCACTGTCCAAACACTTAGTGAACTCCAGCAGGCTCGGTGCTGTGACCACTGCCCTGGGCAGCCTGTCCCAGTGCCCAACCACCCTCTGGGTGCAGACCCTTTCCCTAACCCCCAGCCTGACCCTCCCCTGTCCCAGCTCCATGCCGTTCCCTCGGGTCCTGTTGCTGTCCCCAGAGAGCAGAGCTCAGCGCCTGCCCCTCTGCTCCCCTCGTGAGGGAGCTGCAGGCCTCCATGAAGCCTCCCCTCAGCCTGCTGTTCTCCAGGTTGCACAATGTACATGACTTTAGCCACACCTCATATGTCTTCCACTCTAGACCCTTTACTGTTTTTGTTGCTGTCCTTTGGACAATCTCTAATAGAGTTATGCCTTTCTTATACTATGGTGCCCCAAACTGCACACAGTACTTGAGATGAAGCTGCACTATTGCAGAGCAGAGTTGGTCAATCCCTTCCCTCAACCAGATATCAACGCTGTGCCTGATGCACCCCAGGGTACGGTTGGCCCTTTTGGATGCTAGGGCACACTCTTCACTCATATTCAACTGGCTGTCAACCAAAACGCACATGATTTCTTTTCTGCAGGGCAGCTCTCCAGCGTCTGTATGTATTTACAGGGTTGCCCCATCCTAGGTACAGAATCTGGCACTTGTTTTTGTTCAGCTTCATGGAGTTGGTGATTGCCCAGCCCTGTTATTTGTCAAGAGCTCTGTGCAAGGCCTCTCTACCCTTGAGGAAGTTGACAGCTCCTCCTGTTGTCATTTGGAAACTTAGTGTGCATTCAAGTCCAGAACCCACACATTGTTCATAAAAACATTTAAAAAAACTCCACTAATGAGTGGCTGCAAGCTTGATGTAGCCCCATTTGCTATAACCCTTTGAGCCTGAAAGAACATACAACCTCACACATTCAATTAAAATGTACTGAAAGGAAAATATTCATCTCCCTTATGTCTGCCATGCTGCTGCTTCACACCGCATGTAAAAGAACCATAGTATTTGCAGTTTGTTGAATTTGCAGAAACCTATCTTAAATGCTAAATGTCCGTGATAAGAATGTAAAATAAGATATCAATCAACTAGATACTACTTATTACCTATCATGCATTTAATACCACTTATTGAGTGCAGGAGTTTTCAGTAACGACCACTAACTGAAGCATAAGCATGACTGAGGTCGGAATGGACTTTGCTATCTCATCTATCGTCAGTTTGTTAGCAGAACCATCAGGAATGATATATCCTCTTTTTCTTCCTGCTTTGGTCAGAAAATGCTGGTCTGTTAAAATTCAACTTTGTGTAGAAGTGGATCAATTTTAAGAAGACAAGTTTTCTCATGAAGCCAGCAGAAAACTAACCCAACAACAACAAAATTGCCCGCTTTGTCAGTAGAAATATCTGACCAGACTGTTGTCTTGCACTGTTTGCACTTGTGGGAGTATTCATGGTTCAGAATTTTTGTGAAGAAACTTGAGGTCCTGTTCCATCCTACTGTAGGAAGGCAACACTTTTGAAATATTTTCTCTCAGAAAAGATTTCCCACATCACACATCAGAAACACTTTTCAAAATTTCTGTACTATCCATGTGTGTTGAAAGCAGAAGGAATAAATACAGTTAAGAAATGGGGCAGTGATGACAACAGATTTTGCTTCACAGCACTTTTGCTAAATGCTTAAAACACATCTATAATCCATTATATATATATAAATATAAATTAAATTATCAAAGCTACGTTTTGTAAAGTGCCAAGCACTTTGGTTCAGAATTGGCTTAAGCCAAGCAAGCCTACTGAATCCACTTGGAAAACTTACATATCAAAAATTAATTTTGCAAGTTTAGCCACTATGTTTAAGGAAAAACAACTTCCCTTCCCTTCCAACACTGCACCAAAAATAACAAACATCTGATTAGAGATTCAGGTCATCTCTTTAATGTACTTCAGTAATAGGAGACAACTCATTGCATGCCAATAATTCTTTTATCTACAGGGACTCACACAAACTTTGGCTAAACTGAGGTCTCCAGTAGAGGATTTAAGATATCTTTGTGGCAAACTTAGCACATCAAAGTTACAAAATACTACTACTAATAATAGTAACAACAAATTTCAGTTTTGCCTCCAGGACACATAAATAAAGAACAAATATTTTAAAGTATTTGTAGAAAGAGGACTTCCAGACATTCTGAAACCTTAGTTAAGCCTCACAAAAATCCCAGTGTGGTAATCCAGTGCACATATCCTCATTGATGAAATGTCTTTCTGAAGCATGGAGAAGTTGAACAGTTTCATCAGTTTACCATAGTCAATAATTCCTAGCCCTATATCACTTTTATTTATTGTCTATCACCATAAGAACTCAAATCAAACAGCACTATAAAAAGAGACGAGGAGGCTGCAATATACAAAGCGTCTTTTCTTTACTGAATGAGCTTATATGACACAATTCTTAGACTTTTTTTTTTTTTTCAAATTAAGCACAGTTCATTACTGTGGCTTTAAATATTTTATCTACCTCAGTAGCACTTCCATACTTTGTTGATCAATGGAATAAGTATTTAATGTTTTCATTACAATATCTGCTAGAAGCCTCGACCACCCTATTAGAAGCAATACACGTGGATTATTGGGTGGGAAAAGAAAGAAATCTCATTGACTGAAAAAAAAAACAAAAAACACAAACAGAGGCAAAGAAAATCTACTTAGTCCTTTTACAGGTCTGTTTTGTTTGTTTAAAACAGATTTGTACAATATATTTAAAATTGCACAAGACAAACAAACAAACAAAAAGCCCTATTGTTATCCTAGGGATTGGGTCCAGATTTCTGGGATACAAAAGTATTTTTTTAATTTTTATGGTTGGTTCAGGGTTGTTGAATTTTTCTTTACTGTATTGCGGAGAATGGATCATAGCAAAAGCAAGAGAAATACAACAAATATGTATGCAACTATATTTCCATAGACTAATCTGTTCAAAAGAAGACAAAATTCTATAAAAAAAAAATTGTCAAAGATTCAAATGTGTGTGCATATACTTTCACATATATATATTTATTGTATATACACAACATATATATATATTATTGCAGAAATTATGGAGTCAGAAATCCAATTATACCTACTATATTGTGTCTAATTTCATTACATTTCTTTCTATGCCTGCCTTGTTTACATGTATGTATGTACATATTCCTTGATGGGTAGCAATACTTTGAAGCTGTCTAAACATCTTATGTGTCCTTTTTCCAGTAAAATTAATTGTAATCAGTAAATACTAATAGACTTTAGTAATGTATATATCTTTTGTCCACAGAGGATAAGCAAGCTAGTGGCTACTATTCTATATACTTCTGAGGAGTTTACTTAATCGTCCTGTACATTTAGACTTTCTTTCCAAAATAAATCTCAATGTCAAACAAAAACAAACAAACAAAAATAAATAAACAGAAACCAGGTGACACCACCATTTCATGATAGGTAATCTAGTGTTTGATGATTCTTCCTTATCCTTTATGCTTCAATTTATTTATTTATTTTATTTTTTTTTGATGGAACAAAATTAAAATGCACTTGTGTTTTAGTTTTCCATTTCTGGATAATAAAATGGTCCTGCTCATGCTATACTTTGTGGTCAACTCTTCTTTGATTTGTTTCATGGACAAGAAATTACTTCAAAGCCAAAAGCCATATCTTTACAGCTGTTGTTTAGAGTCTCCCATTGTCTAAAATAAATTGGCTTTCTGGTAATCACATGATATTTTTTATCTCACAAGTACGTCTGGTGTGTTTCCTGTTTTGGGTTCACTTATTAAACTGAAGAAAAGGTTTCAGAAGCTGGTGGTGTGGGAGAGAGACTGAATTGGCAGCTTTATTAAAATTCATTTTTTTTTTCCTGACAAATGCATTGGAAAAGAAGAAAACTGCACTAAGCATAACAACAGAATCAAAGGATTTCAGAAGAGTCTGACTGCACCAAAAAAAGTACCATCGCCATCCAAGGATATTTTGGCTCGTCTTCGTGGTATTGTAAGTTGAAGTTCGTCCCCTTCTTCTAATTTTGCAATGCCTGGCAAAAAAAATGGAATATTTTAAAGTTAATATTTCACAGACATTATTTTTATCAATGGTGTTCAAAATGTTATTACACATCATCTTATAAATGTAAGCATGGCTTGTTACTTGTGACAAGTGCTTGTTTTATCTTTAGGTACAATCACACAGATTTCAGCCTACCAAAATCTGACACTTAGCATCCTCTGTGGAGCTGGATCTACCTTTCTTTCCTTAGCAATTCCATTCTTCACTCATTGTGTCAAAGTTCACTTAAGCTAACGCTGCAAAAAAAAAAAAATCACCTAACTGCAGTGCAATCAGATTCCCCATCTTATGGTGATGAGACAGTCAAGGTCAGCACTGGGCATTGCTGGTCCTAGACCATTCAGTTCCCACACTTCTAGAGGAGGTCTCATCAGCTTTACCAACCAAATGAAGTTACCATACATCAGCTGATCCACTGCAACTGCAGAGCACAAAAGTCTGCTTCCTGCAAGCCACACATCAGCTGATGTGGTAACAGAAAGCACCTTGCCTTCCAGTTGCAATCACTGGACTGAGAACAAAACTAACATCTGCAGCAACACGTGCTCAACAACATGAGATACTGCAGTAAAATTCAGTTTTCCAGGTGAAAGCAGAAGGTGGGAGTTTTGAAAGCAGGAACGACGATGTGGCAGAATGGAATACATGAAATTAATCTCTATGTAAAAAAAAAAAAAAAAAAAAGAAAAAGAAAAAGAAAAAGAAAACTTCCTTCCCAGCCCCATTTGTTTAGTACCACCACTTGTCAACAGTCAAGTCTTATTACTGAATGTAACCCACTTTTTATAGAAGACAGAGAAAAAAAAAGACAGATTTTATTCACAGAGATTTTGCTAGAGAATAACAAAATCAAAAACCCCCACATCCCTGACAAAGAAGAAAGACAGACAGGTAAGAGCTACTGAATGAGGTTTGATAGGCCTGGACAATAATTCCTTAAATGCTGCTGCAGGAAAATACACACATATAAGCACTAAGCCTGCTGGACTTGCGTTAAATATTTTAATTGGTCTTTTTTGTGGTGTTTCTAATTTGTGCAGTCAAAAAGAGCTCTTTATAGAATTAACTTTTTCATCTAACCAGATAGTAAAATTGCATTAGCCATTATTAGGAGTGGAGATTTAAGCTGGTAAATGACTTTAGAATGACAACTATTAATTGGATGGTTGGACCAGATGGTCTTGGGGACCTTTTCCAACCTTAATGATTCTAGAATGGATTGAATCTTTGAAAGCCCACAGTGAAGTACACAAAAATTGTGTGGCTAAAACTCATGCATGATATATTAAAGCAGAACACAGCTCCTAAATACGTTTTAGTGGGATACGTAAATGTGGAAACCAACACCTAAGTTAAACTCAGTTCTTCAGCAGGGACAGTATGTACTACTTTTGTATGCCTCAAGCACCTATCTATGAAAGCACCAAAGTATCCAAGCACTTTATACAGCTAATGTAGAGACAGGAGTCACTCAGATCATCTAAGTGAGATGCATGTAGTTCAACTGCTGATGCTTGATATAAATCTATACTTTTGGAATGTGTTTTGTAGTTTTGCAATTAACCAGATCCATTTTCCTTAGAACTGCTACAATTCTTAATCACCCGCCATTTGAGATTCCATTTAATACAGTTTATTTGCAAACAATGAGAAGGAAAATTTAGATGTTTACCAGCGGTATAGCAAGAATTATTCGGATAAGACTGTGGCATATTTTGGATGCAGCGAAATAATGTCACCAAGCTCAGATCATCACCAAACACGTGGGCCTTCTTCCTCTGTATTAGATGTCCCATAGCAAATGTTGTATCTGTATATAAAACCTACAGAATGAAGAGGTACAGACTTCAAATATATTGTATGCAGACATTAAAAATCCTTTAAAATTCAGATGCTGAAGTGAATTGAGCATTCTTACCTGGCCATATATGAAAAAATATCCTGTTTCTTTGATCACTATTTTATTTCCATGTTCTTCCAGAGCTGTTCCACGTTTAAAGCTCAGAAGCCAAGGGACAATGCTTGAATCATCTAAAAGAAACAAGAATGTTGGGGTAATCAGAAAAAAAAAACAAACAAACAACAAACACCACCACCACCAACAAAAAAACAACACCACAAACAGACACAAATGTACTTCCCCAGTTATCATCTGCCAAAATTGAATAAAGCTGACTACTAGTTAAGACTTCCAGTCTCTCTAGCTGTATTTCCCCCAAAAAAGAGGATATTTGCAAGAGCTGCCCAGATGCAACGACCACATTATTTTATTTATTTATTTATTTTAAAATCGGGCCATATAACTCAGTTAGTGCTTTGAAGTTAATTAAAATAAGACACAAGATCTAAAACATGGAACAGTGAGCAATAAAATGTGGAATATGTTCCTACCTTTCTGTTGGATATCACTTTTGCTGTCAGCGATGAGTTGCAAGCAGGCCTGTAGCACTGCAAAGTGAAAGCATACATGTCATTTGTACAACGGAGTAAGCTTTTTGAAGCTACTTCAAAAAAAATGGAAGAACACAAAACAAAACTATATTCTTTGTCTCACCACCTATTTGAAAACAGAATCTATCTTACTCAAACATGCCAAAGCAAAATTCATACAGCAACATGCACTAGATAGTTCTCAGAGAGCTACAGCTAAGCAGCATATAAATTGTACTTGCTTGTTTTAATCTTTGGTCCTAATTGAGTTTAAAAAGTGCAGCAGTAAGTTAAATAAGCTATGAATCAGATCAATTAGCTTTGTTAATTTTTTAACTAAAAGCTCAAAAAAAAAAAACCAAAACCAAACAAAAACCAACAACCCTGCCAGCTATGACAGATACCAGTTTTTCTAACAGTATTTATTATATTGCTAAAAATAGTTTTCAGTCATGGTTTGTGTAAAATGTTAATCATATATACTGGTTACGTGGTACTTTCAAGAACAGTAAAATCAAATTCTCAACATCCATATGCATGTACCCTCCATATATTTTCAGATGCATGCAGTCAATCACCCTGTACTAAGAGAGAAAGTACAGAGATGACTGGTAGCAAATAAATGCACACGTAACAAATACCTTAGTATCTGACAAAAAAAAAAAAAAAAGGCATTACTTAAAACTGTAGGTGTTGGAGACATGAGAAAATAGGACGTTGATCAGAGAAAAATACTGTGGCATAATATGATGGGATATATATTCTGAGATATGATAAAATAAAGGCTCCCAAGAGAAACAGAGATTAAGAAAAAAAAAAATCTGCTAACCACATATGTCAGTGAAGAGGATAAAAGACAAGAGCATGGTTGCATTTGCAAATAGCAGGTTTTCAGGAAAACATCAGGTTGTAGTGGCATTTTGAAGGCTGGAAAACACAGGTGTAACATTTACTGAACTTCATTTACTGCACTTAGAAACTGATACTAAGTTAAGAGAAGAAAATTCTGCTTTGGACTGCTGAATCTCTTTGTTTGCCTTGTTGTTGTTGTTCTTCAGATAAAAATGCCATGGGCTAGATTCAGATCCCCCCCTTGCTGCAAAGGGCAGTGACCTACTCTGAGATCTTATTTCTGTCCTGTCAATGGTACCCCTGTGCACACCCCTGTGTTCATCAGCATCCACTTCTCTGTGCAGTGTACAGAGTGACAAGGTTGGAGAAGAAAGTGGTCTCCTGTCTGTACCTTTCTCCTTTCAAGGAGGCTGTCAGGGGAGGGCTAGATGCTCTATAGCACATCAGTGGCGCTCACAGACAGTGGACAAAATTCACATGCAAGTCTGGGAATGCTTCAATGTCACAAGAATTAAGAACCTATGAGCCCTACTGACATTAACAGGAACACTATCCTGCAGTCAACACTTCCTTTAACATGCCAAAATCTATAGATTTTCAAACCAAGAATTTAAAGACATTTACATTCCCTGTCGTTTGATAAGTAACAGAAAACCAAGCCAACATAAAATCAAAAATGGTGTTTTACTTCAGTGATTTTTTATTTCTTTTAAAAAAATCACATTTGTAAGTGACAAAATTTTCTGAAAAAGAAACTTCCAAATAAAATCAAAATGTGATTTCTGGAGTTGCACAACAACAACAAAAAGCATGTCAGGCAATTTACTTCACAAGGTATTCATTTACCTTCGTTTGGAACAAAATGCCTTCCTGGTGAATGGAATTGGCAGTAATCTAAATACATATAATTTTTCCTGCTTTTAAAGGAACTCACCAGTGTGGCCATTGGAATTTCCACTGTCCGAACAAGAGAGGAAACTGCCCTCATTCACAGTTTGTAGCTCTGGATTTGTGATTTGATTCTTAGCAGCACTGAAAAGCTATTCATCATTCATCAGAACTGCCACACAGTAATTAAAATCAGCAAGCTAGGTACAATCTGAGAACTTTTTAATATTTTAAAAACACTTTAAAAACACAGTTCTGCAGCAGTTTACAAATATCTGCTCTCTTCTCTCTGGGGACAGCGACAGGACCTGAGGGAATGGCATGGAGCTGGGACAGGGGAGGGTCAGGCTGGGTGTTAAGGGGAGGTTCTGCACCCAGAGGGTGGTCGGGCACTGGGACAGGCTCCCCAGGGCAGTGGTCACAGCACCGAGCTGCTGGAGTTCAAGGAGTGTTTGGACAACACTCTCAGAGTTTCGTTTTTGGGTGGTCCTGTGTGGAGCCAGGAGTTTGACTCAGTGATTCCTGTAGGTCCCTTCCAACTCTGGATATTCTGTGATTCTATGGTATCAAATCTACACACACTCTCTACAAAAATCTGTCTTTTCCTTTCATGTATGCAGACTCTGAAGTCTTTAAGGCTGCGCAGAATGTAGTGAGTTTGCCTTTCAGGGAGAAATATGGATACAGAAGTGTCATTCGTGACAATACAGAGAACAGAAACCAGCACAGTGGCCCTTTTACCTAAAGCCACAAAAAGGAAAAATAATTTCCTAAGAACTATTTGGGGAATTTAACCACAAGATACTTAAAAAAAAAAAAAAAAAAAAAAAAAAAAGTTCAGAAGCCAATACCATCAAATAACTATTTCCAGTATATACAAATACTTCACTTTGACCTGTGAAAAACACATATGCTTAAAATCAACTAATTCACTGAAACAAATTCAAAGCAAACAACATAATTAGTTATTAAAGAGAAAGAAAGGATATACAGAGTATATTTTCTAGGGAAAGTAATAGAGATGTTAAGTAAAATGCTAACATTGTTAAATGTTAGCAATTCTATTCCAAGAAGAACACAAATCTGAATTGCAATATGAAGAATATATGCATTACCAAATACGGCTTGACTATTTACTATCAGTAGAGAGCAGAAAAAGTCAAAAGCTCTACCCAAGTATGCTTCATTCACTGTAAATCAAACCTGCCTATCAGCTTTGTAGTATAAAGGATTTTTGAATATTTAATAATGTGAGCAGAACACAGGATTGGTAAAATACTTCTCTAAAACATGTAAAAATATCTGAAGTGTGCACCACCATGAGGACTTGCTGTACAAAACAACGTGTACCTAGAACAATAATGTGTGCCCCGACCTCTTGTGACTTCAGATGATAGCTTTGCTTTGATGAGAATTTTTTTTTTTTTTTTACTCTTCTGATATAAACCACGCTGTGGGGTGTGAGTGAGAAGAACATTTCAGACTTTTCCATGAAGAGAACAGACAATTCTGAAGAAGTTAATGATTACAGATGTCTTTACAAACCACAGCCAGCACTTGAAAGAATGTGTTCTTTACCAGTTGAGAAATGTAACCACAATTTCAAAAAAAAAAAACACAACCAAAAACCCCCAAAACAACAACAAAAACAACAAAAAACACCTCAAAAACAAACACATCTAGCTTTTGCAGAAGGATAAGAACTTTGTCTTCTGCATATCCATGTAGTTCTCTTCTGCATATCAGTAATATCAAATTCCCCCTCCTTCTTCTTGTTTTAACATGCATAATCATTTTAATACCTTGTAATATAACTTTGTAATCCATTCAAAGAAAATTGCAAATTTATTATCTATGAACTTGTGCATAAATTGCTACATTTTGGTTTCTGAGTATCTGCGGCCCAAGACATCTATCTCAACTTTTGCTGAAACAAACAAAAAAGATGAACTCTGAGCTTTAAAAAGAGACCTGTTTGCTTGGGTTCCTTCTTTGGTCTTGATGTATACACTGTAGATTTCCTGAAACACACTTAAACACTAGGTAATTTAATTTATAATTGATATGTATGTTCTTGAACAATTTGCAGCTTTTTTTTTTTTTCCTTTTAACTTTTTAATTTATTACTACAGAATATCTTCCTTTACTTTTTGCTTGTGCAGGTTTATAGACTGACTAATTTGGCACTTTTTAATTAAGAAGTCTTTATGGTGCATTAATCATGGATTAAATCAGTCACTGCATTAAAATGGCTTAGTCATCATTACACATACGATTCAGATCTAACAAGTATCTTTGAAGTATTGCTGGCATCATTTTAATCTTAATGGAATTAGAAGTAATGTGTTACAATTAGTATAATCAGGAATAATTTACTAAGAATTAAGAATAGTTTATATAGACTTCTATTATGCAGCATAAAGCATTTTTTTTTTTTTAAATTAGAGCCTATTTTGTGTATCTTTTATTGCACAGAGGTCTGTATAATATGCAACACTGATTCGTTCGTCCAGTAGGTGAAATTCTTCATGTAAAATTGTAAGCACTGGATGAAGTCTTTTTCTACTCTCTCACATAGAAATGTTCACTTCCTTTAGAGTTAGCCTGTTGTCAGCAGAAACAAAAAAGAATAACATCTCTTTTGAGATTTTTTTTTTTAGCACTCTTATATTTCTCCTCTTCAAACAATAAAATAAGAAGTATTTAGTGAGGGAATTTTATATGCAGCATTTGCTTAGACCAGTAAGAAAAGGTCAGCTTTCTTGACTTAAAGATCTCTGAAGTCAAGTTCCACCCATAAAAGTTCATACTGTCTGTCTGACATGGATATCTAAAACAATAGCATATGGAGTCAAAACACTTCTAATCAGCAAATGTACCAATATGCCAAAAAAGCAAATATATCAAGAGTAATGGCAAAGGGGATGCCTTCGCACTACTTAGTGCTTGCATGACACCAGTTGTTTCCTGCGGATGCAAATGACATGGCAAAAGAACCTGGAAACAGCTAGTAAGAAATTGCCAGGCTAAGTTAGCCTATTTCACTGCTTTGTGGACTTTGAATTTCTCTTCTGTGCCTTTCATACACACACCTGGTTGAAATGGATAACCTCAATATACTGAAGTAAATAATGTCCACAGGTGCCCCAGTTTGATCGCACCAGAACTTTGCAAATTTGAGCTTACAGAAGACCTGATGCTCACCTTGCTAGCCAACCATGGGAATCAGAATCACACAGAGATGATTGGAACAAGGCACCTAGAGAGCGTGCAAATGAAACTTGGCATTTGTACTCTGAACTGTCTCAAGTAATAAAGCTGTATCTTGTTCCTGGACTGAAGGATATATACATCTTATAGAGAAGCATGCTGGCAAGGCAGTCAATAATTGGGATCAGGGTAATGTGTGTGTGCGCTCATGTGGGTGTGTTTCTGTTGTGTAGCAAGTTTTCCTCTACAGGCAAAATTTATAAAAAGAATGACAAATTAAAAGAAAAGTATTTCTGCTCTTAAGTGTCCTGATATGACACCTGCTAGAAGTGGTTAGATGATCTATATCTGCCTGCATATTAATATGCATCTTTCAAAATCACCCATTAACTCCTACTCATTGTATCAAGAACTCTGTTTCTGACTGTTAACTGTGCAGCTTTCTCTGCAATTGATGCTCAAAACCCATCTCTTCAGCCCACTTGTGCTGGAAACTTTTCTCAGGACATGAGATGTACAAATTCTGATGACTAATACTTTTACGCATGAACATAGAAAAATGCCTAGCCTATAAAAATATTAAAGAAAGCATTGTATTAGATCTATTTTCATTCAATTGTCATTTTAATTAAAATTACAATTTGTGGCCACTTTTATGCACACAATATCAAGTAAATGTATATTACAAATATATTAAAAAGGAAAATTCCATATATTCAAGAATAGTTGAGCTAGGTCTGAAAAGAATCAAGGGCATCCGTTACCAGAATTTAATTATCAATGTTAAAAAAAAATAATCACAACTTTATTTATGAACAACAACAAAAGGTTCTCTTTTACTTCTGTTCTCTGAAGAGACATAAGAGAAGCAATTCTATATCAGTGACATTCTCAAATATTCACTTTCTAAGGAACTGGTATGTGTTGAATTGAAATTATGGCTCAACAATTAATTCTGAGACTAGACTCTGCTTTGAGAGCTTGTTGAAGCAAACAGAAATAGCACAAGAACAAAGCACCTCACTCAATACCCTAATTTATCTGCCATCATACTGGACTGAATGCAGTGAATCTGTGGGATACTTTAGAGGCTGCCAGAATTCCAATACTCAGCAATGGATGCAGGAAGATAAAAACACAGGGGTAGTAATTTTATGTTTATGACCAATGAACTGACAGAATTCAGGACCAGGCACAAAAGCCATGTTATTTTTTTTCAGTCACTCTACTATAACAAAATTTAACATTGACTACCAGGTTCACGGTCATCAGTGGAGAGAAGTCTGGTCTGAGAAAATTAAGCTCTAAAGAGCTTACTTTGCTGTTATTACAGCAGGTAGAAAGGTAACTCAGTGTAACAGATGACCTTTTATGTAGGGAAAAGATATATAATATATATATATTTAAAAATATATACATACAAAATACATTGGCTGTGTTAGATTTTTTTTTTGTAGTAGGTCAGCCTATATAGGTTTTCCTGTTCAAATGAATGTTCCTATTCTATGCCTTCTGTTATCTATTCAAAACAATTTAACAAAAAAAAATATTAAAAAAAAAAAAAAAGCCTACAAAAACATGAAGCAGCTTAATTAGAAGTTCAGGTGAAGAAATACATATAGATACAATCAGAGGTAGCTACCTGATGAGAAGAGTCTTAAGTCTGCCAGAAGAAAGCTGAGGAGCTCAAAACCCTACTCTGCCCCATGAACCCTCAAAGAGCAATAAGAATAAAGTTGAAAACTACAGTGAAGGGAAGTGAATAACTTGCAAAATACTGATGCTATAATATCCATTAAAAAAAAACAAAACAAAACAAAAAAAGACATGCCTCCTCATTTTGGTGATAGCTGTGGTTTAGGTATAACGGATCACTAGCTTTTATTTGGGAGACATTGGGGTGGGGAGAGCAGTTCTGTGACTCCCACTATAGGAAACAGGCTACAAGAAATACAATTTAAGTAATTTTGTCTTACATCCTGGTTGTGAAATCACTCTTAGCCAAGACCCTGAACCAAAAATTTAACGAAATACAATAAATCTCATTTAAACCTATGGATTTTGGGTCACGTCCTATATGAATATTCTCTTTTTAGAGACTTGGAGGTAAGCAGAATGATACCGTAGAACTTAAATTTCATTTAGCTTGCTGAAGCTTAGTGAAATACATTTCACATTAATTATTTAATCAAAAGCACATTTTAAGTGATCTCTGATTTAGACTTTATCTACTCATTGTTAACACATTTTAACTTAATCAGTAATTCAATATATCAGCTCCCATCAGTCAAAACAATCTAAAATTATCTATAAGGAGATTTAATAGATTTAGCAATTTAGGAATATTTCTAGTTACTCAGTGTAATTATAACGTACATATTGTTATGTTTAAATGCTGTATTTCATCCTATCAAACACCAATGTATTTGGAAAGAAAATAACTAAAAGAAATTGAGTATTTTATCCCTAAAGGAAACAAGTATATCCCATTAATATATTGACATTATAACACACATCAGAGGTGTTTTTACAGAGCAGTCAATAGTGCTTTCTGCAGCATCTTTTTAAAAGGCTACAGTAAAAAAAAAAACTTACTGCATAGGAATGCCTTTATTAATTTTGATAATTATATTAATAGATGGTTTTATGTGGAAGTAATGCTATTTTTTTGAATTTCTTGTAGTCTGCCTCTTCAGACAGGTACAAGCTAGCTTTTCTCTTTGAAAGCTCCTACTTCCTTAAAGTGAGGGAGCTTTCTTGCTACTTCTCTCTTTTAGGATGACTATGTTTTCCCAGAAAAATGACTTGACAATTTTTTTTTATTTTTATTTTTTAATAATGGTTTTCCCTCCTTAATATTTATCAGAGAGAAACAAATTAGACATTACCCTGAATTGAGAATGATGGATTTAGAATTGATCAATTTCCAATCTGAACAATTTCAAGTTGCCTTACTCAGCTCTACAGCTCATCATCGAGAATTAACATAGCTACAAGATAAAGAATTGGGAGCTAATATTCAAAATTCAACCTGCAGATAGCAGAAATATCTGGTACCTTAAACAGTGCGGTAATCATCAAAGCAAATGCAGTTCACAACATTCATTTGATAATAATTGTATTCAGTTGCAAAAATCGTAATAGGCTCTGGGAGCATTCATCAGCCTACAGGAGGAGATATGTCCCAAGAACTGCTGCTAGTCTCCCAAAAGCATCCACCTGCAGCATCCCAACCCACTTTGCAAGGTGCTATTTACCTGTTTCTTCTGTGTGGACGGCAGACCTTCTCCCCCTGTTTCTGCTCCCGTTCGAGATTTCCTTTTGGAAACTTTCAGCTGGGCTAGGGCCAGGAAGCTCGTTCTCCTAACGGGGACAGGCAGCAGTTGGTGAGAGCGGCCTCGTTCCCTGCAAGCTCGAGCCCTGCGAGCCACAGCCACCACTCCAGCTTACCTGCCTGGCACCAGCTGCAGAGGCTTGCAGGAAGGAAGAAACAGGGGCACCTGCTTTCTCGTCATCAGGGGAGACGGCTCGCCGCTCTAGTGGAGACCTTGCCTGGACCCTGTAGATCAGCTCGTGGCGCAGAGCTTCTAGCTCTGTTTTCAGGGTGAGAACATGGTAAAGAGACACTGCTGCAAGACAAGAGGACAGGAGCATTGCAAGCCACAGGAATGTGACAGAAAAAAGTCCCGTGGTGCCTGAAGCAGCACCAGGGGGGGCAGAGGGAGAGGAGGCGGTATCCTTCTGTTGGATGACGTGCACACAGTCCACGGATTTCATCGCTGCTCTTTCCTCACTAAAGCCAGAGGGAGAGTTCAGCTGTCCCCTTCCGAGGTGCAATCCATGTTACCAGTTGCTCTGTGAAACTAAGGGCATCCAGAATAAGTGAACAAAACGCCCAGATCATTTCCTGTCATATGAAGCCGTTGATACAACCATTAAACTTAATGTACAGAGTGAAAGTTTAACATTCAGTCTCCGTTTAGTTTTCTTCTTTCTGTGCTGCATTTTGGCAATGAATACTTTCTCATGAACTGCTTGCTCAACCTGCCTTCCTCCTTTCACTTTCAGCTATTTATTTTTGTGGCAACTTGCTTTTACCATTTCCCATTATCTTGAAATTTAGGCACAACTGGTACCGCTGGTATTTAGAGCCTTATCTAGAATTGCAGAAACAATGTAAGGTTTCCTGGTAGTGTATCATCCAGTTCCAATTAAAAGAGATAAACATATAGCAATGTGTGTTCTTGTAGGTATATACATATATATGTATACAATGTGTATACATTTTATATATATATATATAAATGTATATGCATATATATCCAAAGTGACTATATGCCTGCAGAGTGGGTAGCCTATTCAAATATCAAATTTTGTTGTTTCCTGAACACAAGAGTGAAAAGTATTCTCAGGTATGAGTAAAAAATTATTGGTCTCTCAAGTGTATGAAGTGGCAGAGTCTGCAGTTCAATTTGTCATATGAACGTGGCAAGGGATGACTTTTTATCAGACTCATTTGATAAATACGACTTCTCTGTAGAATTCAAGGACCTGTGTTGCTGCACAAGAGGACCCACAGAATGGGGAGAGCCAACCTAGAAGGGAGGGGAAATCTAGAGGATGGGAAAGGACAAGAGAGGAGAAAGAAAAACAGGGAAAGAATAGAGGGGTAAAGAAAGAAAATAAACATTTAGAGAATTTCAAAAAGGAAATTTTAAACATACATGCTGAAGTTTTTGAGGTGAATCCTTTATATCTGTCCTAAGCTCATCTCTTTAAATTGTTACTAATCCTTTAATTTTAAAAGCCACATTAGAAATTCCTTTCTTTTAACCAAATATCCAAAACATGTTCAAAAGCTTTTTGTATTGTCTTCTCACACAAAAATAACATTTTACTCCTTTTATTAAGAGTTTCAGTGATCTGGACCAGATGAAAAAAAAAAAAAAAAAAAAGATAAAGATAAAGAGCATTGCAACTAGGACTAAAATCAACAGGTCAACCCCCCACTGCAAACTAATCATTTTTACTGCATAAGTAAACTTGTCTTTGCACAAGAGAGAGAACTTTTAAAGGTCTGTCCAAATTACTGTGTAGTGGCATGTGAATTGCATGCTCATGACAATACCTGTCAGAGTAGTTAGTTCAGAACAAGGTGATACTATTGGGAAGGAGAAGGAAGGAACAGAGAGAGCGCAAGCAATTCTGTTGCCTCTTCCACATTTATTTCCTAAGACTGTGAGAAATTGGGGTCATTAAAATTTTTATCATCTTTCATTGCAATTCAAGGCATTCTTCTCATTCCTTTGCCACCTCTAACAACTATTCAATATCCTGCATGGACAAATCATTCTTTTCCTAAAAGGAGAGAAAAAAAATATAGCATGTATTTTAACACACGGTATTTAATACTGTGTATTTAACTCATGCCTCTAGAAGGCACCTACATACTACATGAAAAGTGATACAGAAACCAGTATATGGAGGAATAAGAGCAGCATCTGTTTTCAAGGTTAATTTAAGGTGTAAATGGGACTGCGTTTTGAAGGAAATTTAAGATGCATTAAAGTATTATTTTTTTTTTTTGGAACATGATAAGCAGTTATTAGTACTACACAGAGGTGTCTTGAAGTATCACCAGTAATCAGAACATTATCATCCTAGTACTGTGATAAAAAATAAAATAATATGACAGCTGGAAAAGAAGTGCTATATAAGAAAATGAAACAAAGAATGAAAGTTATAACTAGCTGAAACAAAGAATGAAAGTTATAACTAGCTATCCAGGAATACTGAGAAACAACTGGCCACTGAGGTCTCTCTGGTCATTATCATATTAAAAAAAAAAAAAAAAAAAAAAGCTGACATATAATTAGCATCACTCCAGTTACTTCTACAGAAAATAGGTTGTTCCCAGCCCCCACACCTTCTTTAAATGGGGTCTGTATATGACCTGACAAAATAAGTGTGGTGACACAGAGGACTTCTGTAAGACATCTGGCTTTGTCTTGCTTATCATTCTGACAAATGAAAACTTCAAAGGAAAGAGGAGGAAAATCAGAACAACCCACACATGGCAAATTGTTAATTCAACAGGTGTTTCTATTCAAGTATCAAAGGGATTGGTCTGGTTTCAATCTCATATTGTTCTAGTTTCATAAACATTTAAATGATTTGAAAGAATGTAATCTGGACAAATTTTGCAACAACAGAAACATAGTGGGAAAATAAAAATTGACAGTGAGAGATCAGTCATGGGGGAAACAAACAAACAAAAAACAACACAAAGTGCCTAGAAATATACTTGTACAAATTACATTTTATCACAATCAAGTGAAGTTTCCATAAATTAGATTACTAACCACGTTAAAGTAACGAGAGCTGACGATTAACAACAAAAACAAACAAACAACAACAACAACACATGCTAGTTGTAAAGCCTACTATATGGATTTGTGTGAAGGTGATGCCTCAATGCTTGACTCTCTGCCTTGTCAGAATATAAGGTCTCTATTACTCCTTCTGTTAGCAAAATGACAAAGCAGCCCTTAACCTGCTTAAAGCAGTATCAGTAAGGTTAACACTTCTCTGCTTTAGACTAAGGTATGACTAAAGAGGACTAAGGAAGGCTTGCTCAGGTTAGGCCTGCCATTTGGAGACAAAAGAGGGTGTTGACTCCCACTGAAGAATAGCTCTTCGTTGAAACAGAAGCGTAGCATTTGCAGATATATACTGGGGCAAAACACTGTGCTAAAGTAAAAGTCACTGGTAATCATGCTTTAACTTTGAGAGGGCTGGTGAAGATGGTTCAGAACAAAAACCCAGAATGACTATACAGGGTATGAAGAACTCATCATGAAAAATGTATTCAGTTTGTGGTTAACACCCTGTTTGTAGTGCCTATCTTTCCTGAAAACTCTTCTGCAAAAGTTTGTGCCATATTAAGTCGTTTGACTCAGGCTATGTACACTATGCTACAGATGCATGCAGCAAAACCTTAGGGCAACAAGTGACCACCTCAAGCTCAGTTCAAAGCAGCTTTTTTCAAACTATTCCTAGAAAATCAAATGCCGCTACATTAAATTGCAGAAGTGTAGACTAGGGCATCTAACACTAGAAGCAAGTAGAAGTAAATCTTTATAATAAAGTTATTCTGAAAATATGGTCTATCCTGCATGCATGGTACAGCTGATCTATGTGCACACAGTAAATCCAACCATTTAGTGCCACCTTAGTCTAGATAGTGAGCTATGGTAAACACTTGGGTTGACTGGATAGGGAACCTTCTTAATTTTACCAAGGAAAATTATTAAGAAATGGGTTGGCTGGTCTAAGAATTCTACTTAAGTCAAACTTCTACTTTTGGGAAAAAGAGCATGAGCTAGGTAAAAGTCAAACTAAGAAGAATACAAAAAACAGAAAACAAACAAACAAACGAAACCCACCACCACTGGAGACTATTAACGGTGAGAATGGTCACTGGGGGAAATGGTGGATTCTTGAATAAAATCAAGACTGATTAGTCTTCTAAGATATTACAGATGAAACAAACCCTGTAATTTCTGCTAGCAGATAAATTCTTTCATTTCCGTTACGCAGAATATCTGATTAAATAATCAAGATGGGCCCTGATAATCTGCAAATGTATAAAACTTCATCACTACATCTGTGGGGAACTGAAGCAGAGTAGTAAGCAATCACACAGGAAATTTGTGGTTGAACCAGAAAATGAACCCTTGATTTCCTGAAATCCAGCACACTGCTTTAACCACAAAAGCATCATCTTTGAGGGGGAGGAAAATCTGATAATAAAGTTTATTGTACAAAAGAGAAGCAGATGATTTGAATAAGAAGACTTGGATAAAAACCCAGCTTAGTGAAGAAATGTAGAAGTTTACTTAAAACTGTTCTGTTTTTAAAACAGAGGTTGCAGCATCTTGCAGATTCTGCAACACAGAAATTCAGGCCAACATCAATGGTCATATTAAAAGTACATATCCAGTGGCAAAAGTCCAACTTCACATGCTTCTGAAGTGGCCACAAAATGGAACTGGTCCCTGTGGTTACTACAAAAAGAAAGAAGCCATCATAGCTTACTGTACTACGCAACAACGCACAGAGCAGATAGAGGAGCTCAGAGCAAGCAAAGTATCCATCTTAAATACATTTCAAAGTCTTTTCTGATGGTGGACAAGTTGGACAAACTCTTGTGGAGGAGGTCAGATTAAATCCTATATGACAGTTTTCTGCTATTACAGATAACTGCATTCACAGCATTCAGAGATAGCCTTCTGAAGCAGTGCACATTCCCTTCAAGGACACTTAAAAGTTTCCTTCAGCCATTAGCCAGGACTACACAGCAACAAACCCAGGGAAGTTACCACCTCACATATGCATCCAAAATCACTCTGTGGATTCTGTGTACAGTGGCTGAGTATTTACAACCTATTATCTTAAAGCTTAGGAAACTGGTGGGTGCAGTGCAAATAGAGGATGTGTCATACAAACAGTTTAAATCTCGTTTGATATATTAACTTGTTAAAAGAAAAAGAAGTCACATGAGATTTTTCTGAAATAAGTGATCTTCTTTTCTCTTTGCCTTTTAACTCAAAATTGCCTAGGACAATGCAAGTATCTGTATGCCTTGTAATGATGCCATGCTTGATTTATGTCTCACCTAAGGTTTTATTTTTCTACACATCTAGACAATATAAGTCCAAATCTGGCATGCATACTACACAAAGTAGGCATACAGCTGCCTTGCAGCCATCATTACTATTTAGATAGATATTACAGTGCTTTGAAAGAGGATAGGAAATGGCACAAGAAAGAAAAGCAATTCTTATGAGTGTCTCTCAAAGTATGCAGCAGAACCAACAAGAAATAAAATATATAAACCAAAAAAAAAAACAACAAGATAACACGAGATTTATATACTACAGCACCTTAATGCCAGCCTCCTCCCTCCACCCCCCTCCCACGACGTTATAGCAATTCCTTCTTACTGCACAGTGGAAAAGGAGCTCTCACTTGTCTTACAGCCTCACTGGTTTGTCTATCCAGCAACACGGAGTATTTCTCCACCTCTTCGATACTATGCAACTTGACAGATTTTACACAGATGGGCTTAAAATGCATTTGTATGGCAGCAAAATAAACAAGAAGCCATGGCCTTTCGTGTGGGAGCGGCTGCTCTTCTACTGCTAAAGTTTGTGGATCTCTAACAGAGGGTACAGGGTGGGGATCCAAATTGCAGCTATGGAGAAATATGAAATTCCAAAGATGCAGCTATGGAGAAATAATGCTATTTGCTACACTGTTCCTGACTTCTCGAGGGCAGAAAGGGAACGGTACTCTAACTGACCTTTTACTTTGCATTTTTGTAAATAATTACCCCACACCAGACGTAAGCATAATGCAGAACAGCTGTAGAACTTCCTTTCTTTCCATCTTCAAGCAGCAGAATCTGCTCCCTAGCTGCTTGTCAAAACTAGCAGCAACATCTCTCTGGAACTTGGAAAATTAACACAATTAGGTTTTATGCCAGCAACTATACCCTTGCAGTACAGTATTATTCAGCTCACTGCTTAAGACTAATAAAGATGTATCTGTCAGTAGATGGGTAAAACCAAGCTCTGTAATGCATTAAAAACATGCCTGCCCTTACACTGCATTATTTTTCAGAGAAAGGAAATTTGTTGTTCAAGACAGAGGAGAGTTATTCTGTACCCACTCAAGCTGAAGCATAACAAATTAATCACATTGATGTTTTCAGCACAATTCCAGAAATATTCAGTTTATCTTCCTTATCTACTTACAGAGAGAGAACTCTGTAAAAAGTCAAAAGTTAAGAACCTGAAAAGGGTCCAAAGGATTTAAAGTTCAGGCCTATTTAATATCTTGGGGGCAAACCATTTTTGTTTAGCCAGTGGTTCAGTGTTTTCCCATGATCTTACCTATGATCTTTTCCATGGATAGCAGACCTGCCGCCCTTGGTTTAGGTTTCATTTCTAGCATTTGTTTAGATGTTCATACGCATTTAGAAATTTTTACTGTGATTTAGGCAGTCCTTGCAAATTCTGAGAAATTCATATGCCATACTTCCGTCAATATGGGCCTACACATAATATTCTAAGAAAATGAATATAGCATCACATGGAACTTTTTGAAGTGTTCAGACCACAGTGTATGTTGCTTTTCATAGAACAGCTGCTTTACAATTTTCATGTAACAAAAAGCAAATGACTTGTATTACTTGACTTGTATTCTTCAGAGTAGCATTGCTCAAATAAGGTTTAGTGACATTGTTCACAAGACATCAAACTGCTTTTAATTCAGGAAGGCTATTATTCACATGAAGTACCCAAATCCACCAGTAGAGTTGCTACTCTAGTTTTGTCTCCTTTTTAAGGATTAGAAATACCTTGACTTCACTCAAAATCAATAGGTATTTTGAATGAAGCTTCAAGAGATCATCTAGAATTTCCCTACCTCCTATGTATTAGTCTGAAATTGAACTAGAATCCTTTCAGTAAACCAGGAGAGGACACATTTTGCAGCTTCAGAAAAAGCAGCAGTAAGTCCTTATTTTCCAGGTATTTCACATTAACAATGTGGGATAGCAGCAGAGGTGATATAAGATTAATCGCACATTTCTCTTTAAGGAAGCAGAAACCACCTCAGTCTGGGTATCCCACTACAGCTATGTGCGTTAACTAAGTCTGATGGAGGACCAGTAGCACATTTAGAAATACTTCCTAAGCTACTTGCTCAGACCACCTCTCAGTCCCCTAGATCAAAGTTTTAAAATGCAGAAGGTGATAGAAAGTGATGGGGAGTTACTGAGCATCAGTTTTACTTACCAACGCTTGGTGAACTAAGGGATGTATGACAAAGCTTAGAGATGGATAGCTCTAATTCAGCTTTTTTCCCCTGTTGTAATAGCTTTCCACAAATGCCACCTCTAACAATGCAGATGTCTATTCCATGTGCTCTGGTTTGTTTTGTAAGCGTCTGAAATTGATAGCTTGAGGTTGACAAGATACCATGCACACAAGAATACCCCTGTACTCATACCAAAGACATTCCACAAACTAGAATAAGACATTAACAGCACTTTTAATGTATCAATTTATTGCATATGTCAGTACATAAAAATAGAAAAGTGTGTTTTTTTGTAAAATTAATTTTATTGTAAAAACCAGACTAGGATGGGAATGTAAAACTTTGCCACAATTAGCACATATACAGTTACATTTATGCTTTGTCTACAAAACTTAAGAATACTTTAAAAGACATTTTTCCTTCAACTATACACTAAAGAAAAATCAAATAGAAAGCTTGCATCATTTATTCAGCGAGTGTTTCTGAATTCAAAATATGTTATTTAGAACTTGAATATATACTTTCTCTATCTACACTCTTGTGAATTCTACTCTAAGTTATACAAGCAGGATGGTATTGTAAATTATTCTTAATTGACAGTGGATCAGGTTAGTGGATCCAGACTGGTCTGGATACACCAGGCTGATCCCACTACATGCAGGAGGCACTGATTTTGTATTTGGCAGGAGTGCCCTTAGCAAAATCACCTGTCATTAACAAAAATAAAAATATACTTCTCAAGAATTAAATTATGAAATACAAATGGAGGTATGCCAGCATTGCTTTGCTATTAGGAGACCATACCTTGGAATCTCAATTCAGCCTTGCATTCTTCACTATGAACATCCAACATGACACAAGTGATTAGCTAAGACTCGCTGATATGCATATCTGATATAAATAGTTAATCCATTTGCCCTTCAACTGAGAGATTGTCCATAGCTGACCAAATGCATTTGTGCTATATGTCTAATTTTACCTGAGAAATGGACATGAGGGCAGTTGTTTCAGTTAATTTTTTTTTTTTTCTCCCCATCTGAAAACAGTTAATCACTCTACGTTTCACAGTTCAGAAGCAAACACTGGGAATGTAAACTTGGGTCAGTAGGAAGCCTCAAGTATTTCCACTAATTAAAACCACGCACACAAGGTCTCATACTAGATAATTCCTCACAAGGACTCTACAGCTACAGCTGTTCTAGTTCAACTCCTGACCCTTCCCTCCAACTTTAAAAAAAAAAAATAATCCTTAAGCAAGTTCCTCTTATAAAAGAGACAATTCCTTTAAAGAATATATTCAAGCCAAGAGGCTTTCTTACAAACCTGTAAAAATACGTCAACTTCCTCTTTGCAAACTAGAAATGTATGTATACATAGGACAAACACTTAGGAAACATCTATACACAAATGGAGAACTGGTATGGGAAAATATATAACAGCATTAATTGGAGTAAATGCAATGCAATCATAACGTTTTTGGCAATTTAAAGCTGTTACTACTGATTCTTGTAATGTACAGTCTGAAAATGGCTTTCAGCAGCAAACCGTAGGTTGCCATCACAGACCACAAAACAAAAATAAGTCTTGTCAGCAACAAGCTTCTTCCCCCTTCTCCCTCCTTCGGATCATATTTACAGCATTGGAAAATTTGCATAATTATTTCCTTCCTCTTTTCTTTCACTGGATTCCACAGCCAAAGCAATGAAAAAACAGAGTAGGTATTCAGCCACAAATGTGTGTGTCCAATGTATTAAGGGAGAAGCAAAAACGTGCTTATGTGGAAGCTGGAAGAAACCACATTAAGTATGCATATATGATGAGAGCATACCTGATACTTTGCAAAACCAGGCATTTTTAGGTCCTGCAGACACTACAGTGAAAAGATATGGCTTGATAATCAAAAGTAATGTTTAGACACAGTGCACTATGAAAAGCTCTTGATTTCCATAATCCAAGGCCACACATTTGACATTGACTTAACTGTGGACCCAAATGTGAATACTTTATTTGTACAGAAGTGCCACATAATACAGAAGGTTGGAAGGGTACTGGCAGTGATTTTGTGTGAGGTTCTTGAATGTATTTGATTAGTGCGGAGCAGGGTAAAACGTCCTCTGTTATTTTGGAAATCCACATTTAATGAAAGACAATGGTGTTTAATGGCAAACTATGACAATTTCTGAAACAACTATTTATCTGCACGCAGCTTCCAACAAGTAATTACTTTTTGGCTTTGTTAACTTGCTTTCAGAAAAAGCAATGGTTGCCCTCGGCCTTCCTTGTCTCTCCTTTATCCCTCCACCTCAATTCTAAAGCAATATGAAACAGCTGAAACAATGGATTAGAGATGATGGAAGAACTTAGTACTGTTTTAGGATACATCACAGAAAGGAAATGCTATGTCTATTAACAACTTCTTGCTATATAGACACCTCTCTCCAACCTTCCCAATCCAAACTACACCAATACCTTGTCCCCACCCAATATCACCACTGAACATCAGAAATGGTTTCAGTTTCACTCAGATTCAAAACTATGCTCTGTCTACCATGGTTTAAGTCTACAGGTCCAAAAGTGTTTTTTTTTTTTTCCTATACCTTTTTCAATTGTTTGTAAACAAACCTTAGTAGTAGGATGATGAAAGATACTTACCAGAGATAGCAGCAACTTCTGGTGTGTTTGTGTTTATGAAAAGAAAATAAAAAGACCACATTTAAGTTTTTGTAGTAAAAGATTTATCACCCTACCTTCAACTCTGACAATACATGAGTGAAAGTAAACCTGTAAATTGGAGGCATAACTATTAAAGCACCAGTTCAGGAAAGCAGTTTTATTCAATAAGAGAACTTCAGCACAAGCTTAAAATACCACTGTCCCCATAAGGAAACAGATTTTAAGCGTGTGCTGAGATGCTTTTCTAAATCAGGGCATCACTGCAAAAAAAAAAAAAAAAAAAATTCATTTAAAAATTTCATTCTGAAGGGGAATTGTACAGATTTTGTGTAAGATTTTCCACAGTTCCTTCCCATAAAAGGATTTTGAAGAGGCAAATTATCAGCTGCAGCAGATAAGCAATTAAACCTGTAGAAGAGATTTACACAACACACTCCAATAAACTGAACTAATACCATGTAACTTTGATATAACTACCCAGAATTAGGTCCCTTTGAAGCCAAAAAAAATCCCATTCAGTCACAATCAAGCTCTCAATTTAAGTATTGCTGGTTTGAAATGGTGTGATGCTACCTTCAAAAGTCTCAGTATAAGAAAACTCAGTTCTACTGCTAACGCATAGGCTACTTTCACTGTAAAAGATTTGTAAGCAGATGGATAAAAGTATGAAAAAACTTATGTCTGCCAAATATTATCCTCACTATAACAGCTCTGTAGGTTACTCTATAATCATGTGATCACTGGTAATTATTTGTTTCTTTAAGTAGCATAAATAAATCAAAGGGCACAGACTTATAACTAAACCAGCCTAAACCCAAACACAAATTGGATACTTTTACCTTGTGTGATACTTCCCTCTATCACACTCACCATCCTGCCTGGGAAATCTCACCTCAAGTGCACGGGCTAGAAACAGCAATAAATAGTTTGACTGTAAGTTAATGATGTGAGCTTGGGGTGGACAAGAGCTTTAGAAGTTAAATTACATTTTTTTTTTTGAGGGTTACTTCTATTTTCTGTGAAGAAATCGTCTGGGCAAAATCCACCAGCCATGTTTAGGCACATACAACCTTATGGGCAACGCTAAAATGCAAACAGTAAAATGAAAACAGGGAAAGTGTCTTTTCCTCCTCAGTTGCAGTTTGAACTATATATGTATGCATAACCATTAAAAAAAGTAATAACTGAGGATAGTATACCTGTAAGTATACTCTAACATTAATGTTATTTTATATTATTTAGCACATTAAAGACTTCCCATCTTGCATAATATAAAGTTTCAAGGAATAAAACACTATCTCATGCATGGCACACTTTAAATAAACTCTAAGAGAAACAACAAATCATTGTGCTAACCATGATTGTCCAAAAAGCTCACATACAGCATTGAAGCCTCCCACTGTTCTAAACTAATATGTTCTGTACTACTCTTGTAGCATTTTTTTTCGTTTAATAGCATCTGTTGTACATATCAAACAAATGGATTATATGGACATATCAAAAAAGTATGAGAAAGACAAAATGGTTCATTTACAATGCTGCAAATGTAAAAGTTATCCGGAACTTCTTAATAAAGCATCAGACCTTTCCAACTTTAATTTCACTCTTTAGGCAAGTACAGACATGACACACATGTAAAAATTAACATTCTTTCACCACTTTTCACAAACCAAGGTACAGTGCAGGTACTCCCCCGACCCCAAAGAAGAGTATCAGTTATATTATTGTAACATTGGATGATGTTTTCGCCATTTCTTCAGGGGAGTGACTCTTTATTACTTCTTTGATGAACTGTTCAAGTGCAGTGAAATATCCCTGGCACTGCCAAGTGTCATTATGAGTTCCGTCAGGAAAAATTGCCAATCTCTTAGTCCGAGCTGGGGATAATTCATAAAGTTGCTTCATCATGACTGGTGGAATTAACTGGTCAGACAACCCAGAGATGAAGAGTGAAGGCATTCTGCACTGAGATATTTTTCTGTAGGACAGAAATTTATTTTTGTAGCACCATAAAGGAAGGTATCTCATTGGAAAGAAAGAAAATAAAGTGCTGGCCATGTGTGGGATGCTAAGAAAGGTGTTCTCAACCATGATGGCAGAAATCCTATGGGAATTTTCAGAAGCTAAATGAATAGCTACTGCTCCCCCCAAGGAACGGCCAAAGAGAAAAATTTTTGTTTTATCAAGATCGGACCGAGTCATCACATAGTCTAACACAGCCTCAGAATCTAAGTACAAACCTTCTTCACTTGCTTCTCCTTCACTTTTTCCGTACCCTCTATAATCAACAAGGATTAAGTTTACTTTCAGGTTCACCAGCATTAACAAAGCATTTGGCAACCTGTGGCCAATGTTGCCTGCATTGCCGTGAAAGTAAATGATGGTTGGAGAATATGCTGCATTGTCCCCTGTATATCTCAGCAGAATAAGATTGAGAAGAACTCCATCTTTGGTTTTGATGAAGATATTTTCATGTGGTATACCAGTAGGCATGGGAACATAAAGACGTGATGAAGAGGGCTGTTCAGGAAAGTAAAGCAGCACATCCTGGAATTTATATAATATACCTGCTATTGACACAAATATTAGTACGAGTAGTATAATGCCTCCATACAAGTGAAAAGTTACTATTAAAGGTAAAAGAGAAATACGGCAGAGACCCCAAGACCAGGAAGCCAATGCTAGTAGCCATCTTTCAACAAAGGTCCAAAGCATCCATGACTTTTCCATTGTAGTAGTCAGTAATCTTTTACTCCGAGTAAATCCTGTTAAAAAAAAAAAGACATATAAATATGGAGGAAAAAATGAAGTGATATTTTATTACATAAAAGTCAACATTACAAAAAAGCATAAGTGTCAAACTTGGAGTGAAACTCCTTTGGAATTTGGAAAACATACAGTTCTGTAAAACAGGTAGAAAAGTAAAGACAAGTCTTTGAAACTTTCCAAAATCACATTTGCATTATTTCAAATGGGTAATATCCAACAGTGGCTCTAAAAAATCGGTTGAGTGTAACCATGAAGTGTTTTCCCTCAGTCATCCCTACTGACCCAGGCAGCAAACATACAGATTAGTTTGTTCAAGCTTCTCAAAAGTAAATCTATAATTCAGAGAGCACAAACAAAAGTAGCTCGATTAAGGCCAAGAGGAATATTCAATAAGCCTATGCACTTCACTCCGCAACCACTCAAGGCTAACAAGGCACACAGGGTCAGCTATCATTCAGTAGTTTCAAAACTGAGTGTTTTTGAGTGTTTCAAAACCCCAATCAACTGTGATTATAGAGCGACATGCAAAACAATCAGAAGAGACACCAAGATCCCACACTGTACTTACATTTATAACAGAAGTTTTGCTATATTTTGATTAGTTCTGACTTACAAGTTTTAGAATAACAGATCAGTAAGCTGAATGACAAAACTGTCATCACACAGCTGACTGAGAACAGTCAGCTACCTGCATTATTCTCTGATCAGTGAAAGCACAACTGCTACATAGTCCAAAACTGAAGAGACTTATGACAAACATGTGCACCATTAAATGAGGAGAGTGGTGCTCAATGATAACAGATTAAATCTCTGTGGATCACGATATAAAAGGCCACCACTGTAGTCACAGCCTTTGCACTCCCCAAATATGTCAATTAAGCAAAAATACCACGAAAAACTGCCATCTCTGCTTTACACAATTACAAATATATAAGTAAATCTGTTACACCTTAAGACTCAGATATTCACCAAATGCAACGTGAAATTATGTTTTTATACAGTCTATCTATTCAAAATACAGAACCATTGAAATTTAAAGTAGTTTAGGGATCAATTATCCCAAGTTTGTTTTTTTTTGTATGAGGAATTCATGTTCAATATCCAAATCCAAGTGTGCACAAATATCGTCTGTATAGAAATTTAATTCTTGTGAACCATTTAGGACAGATGTGAAGTAGGTATTTCAATTTCCAACAGAATTCCCTAATGACGTAGACAAACATTTCCTACACTGAAGACTAAGAATGCTAACATTGATAACCACAATAAAAACACTTCTCTTACGCCCTTATTCAATTTCTATTACTTCATTACAAAATGAAAAGTCCAAAAAACCTCTCAACAAGCAGTTCACAGAAGAGAAATAGACCCATCATTAAAAATGACTCGTAAAAAAATCTTACGTAAGATGATTACAAGTCTTGCAGATGGCTATCCCACATACACTATGGATTGTATTTGGAGACATCCTCTGATGGCTTTATAAGCCACGTTAGCTTCCCTTGTGCACAGCTTCCCATTTTCTAGGGCAATACTACTGAGTATTATACAACTCTGACATACTGCTGCTATGTGTGTATATATAAACACTTTCCTACCAGAGAGAAAAGCCAATGTATCCTACAACTAGAATTCAACCCAGACTACAAATATGTAGTGAAAATAAAACTCAGGACTTCATAGATCAAACTCAATTCTTTTCTAACAAAACCCAAATCCAACACATACTCAGGGTATTTCAGCCAGCTTTCAGTAGAAATATGGCTTGTGTTCAACATGTTATGGGGTGGTGTAGTTTACGCTTAATTGTTTCACACTCACCTAACATATTTCAGTAAGGCTGACTACCCCGCACTAATGAACAACTGCTTGACCATTCAGCTTTTCTTCCCAGCTACGTGAAACTTCACTAGTTTCATCTGCTACCGGGCCTGAATCATGTCTACCTCACACCTTGATGCGAGGCTTTTTTGTGTGAAAGAACAAAGATACAGGTTTCTTCCAGGTTCTTGCCTGCCTCCTTCCAACAGCAATTAAAGGATCACCAGCATGGAAAATTATGGTTTCTCAAACATGCACACAGACCTGGAAAAGACTAAGGGAACACAATTTCATTCTCAAGAAAGCTACAAGCCATGCTTTCTGGGGAGTCCAAGGTAGCAAGCCTTCTAAATACACCTTCTCTGACCTGAATAGTAGAATACAGAGACTTCCATTTAAAGCATATGCACATCCTTTTTGTATACAGGGAGTGATATCTGTGTTTTAATTCAGTAAGGTTATCTTTCAAACACTTTATAGAATAACATCTTCTGATGCAAAAATTCCATATTGAATTATGTTTCAATTCTCTTGTATCCCTATATTTTGTGTCTAGTTGGATGCCAGAAAGTGAGCGAAAGAGAACATATTCGGACTTCAATGTCTGAGCTAGTCAACCTGAGAAACAGTGCACCTGAGACCTGGAAAAGCACATTTCTTTTTCTAGCCATGACTAGATTGTTCCTAGACTACATGAAGAAGTCCATAAGCCATCCTTAAGATGTCCCAGCTATGGCAAGAAGCAGGTACCCTTTACCTCTTCAAAAATAAGACCTTTTAAAATTATTTTCTATGTCACCTGCAAATATGACTAGTTAATATTGAACAGCCAACTGTTTAAAAGGATAATCTCACTTTTAATGCCTTCTACTATTAGAAGTTTAGCAGTATCACAGCTCTGCAGACAGATGGCATGAAACATCATCCCTGTATTACAGATGGAGATACTGAAACCAAGGGAAGTCAGCAAGCTGGCCAATGCCAGGCCTTCTGTTTCAGCTGGAGAAACTAGGTTTCTCCACGAGTTTCCTTTTCTGATTTGCCAGATAAAACATTAACCTCTCAAAAAGCATTCTTTCTTAAGGTTGATCCCCTTTTACAGCACGCATAGTAACAGTATTTTATTACTGCTGATTATTTAAACTAAGCTAGGGGCTGTGGTGGTGCACTCTGCCCTGTCCCCTTAACCTCATCTTTTCACCTGTAAGCCTTCTTGAGGGATAACCATTGGTGGCAGCCGTGATGAACGCGTCTGGGCTCAAGGTGGCCTTGCAGGAGATAGATCCAAGAGCTAATGAAGCGTGCACCAACCACATATGGCTGGTGTGCAAATATGGCTAGCAGTCAATCGTCTTACCCCATAAACAGGGGACAGCCCAGAGCCTGCTGACCTTCCTGTACTGCAGCAGCCTGCATGCCATGATCTCCCCCCTGAACAGGGATGGTTCTCAAGGTTACTCCTTGAGATCAAGAGATTCCTTACCTGCAACAGATACTCATTAAGAGCTAGTTAAAACTTTGCAAGTAACTTGTTAAGCATGCTGAAACTTTGCAGCCTTAGCTAAGTGATAAAAAGGATTGATTGTGCATATAATCCTTTAGGCAGAAACCATTAAGTCTGGGATTGGGATAGGATCTGGTTGTATCTAGACTCTTTGGAGTTTGGACAGCAAAAGGGCCTCTGCTCTGAACCTCAGTGACTCAACGTGAGGGCTTCCCTGAAGCTTGTAGTCTGACCCTGTCCTGTATGCAGGAAACAATGAAGTGACCTCGTTTAGCTTCACTAAATCACTATTTGCATCAATAAATATATTGCTGCTTCTCTCTTATGAGTCAAGTGCATAATCCCGTTCATGGCAGGATACAAAAAAAGTATAAGGAAGGTGGTTTTCCTTTTTTTTTTTTTTTTTTATTTAATTTGGCATGTAAGTCAGTAAGTCAGTGTTTTATCTGGTAGATGTTTCCATAGATAACTTTTATATTAATGGAAACTTAAACATAAGCTGCTACTTGCTCTTAGCTACTGGAAAATATTTCCCAATACTAAACAGCAAGAAAGATTGAGTACCGAACTCACTACTTCTAGTTCAGTGTATATTAACCTCCACGTAACCTACCTTCAGTTTCTCCAGACTATATAAACCCAGGTCTTCTGCTCTCCCCTCACAGATGGTGCTTTCTTAGCCACAAGCATAATCAGAAGTATTTTGTCTAGCATCTAACTGCTTCATGCTTCTTCCTATCCCTTTGGTATAGCTATATTAGGGATGCTATCCTTTGTGAACGACAGTAATTCCTCCAAGCTTATTGATGATGCTTGTAAATTTATGAGACGACAAGAATTGAAATGCAAAGTTCTATGACAGAAACCTTTAACACAGAAGAACAGCAACTAGATGGAAGTCAATGTTCAGAATTAACTGAAAGTAAGACTCTGCCAGAGTGCTGCTGTGCCTCAAACAACCCACCTTCCTTAAAGACCATTAACGACAAATTCTGTTTATAAAGCTTCAGAACTGTGCTGCATCTCAAAGCAGAAGAGAAATTCGACAATCTTGAGCCTCAATCTCTGGAACACGCATACATCCTTGTATCTATCTCCACTGCTGAACCCGCAGTCCGGGATCAGGATATATCACCACAGCCAGATCTCTGTGCTCTATCAGATGAGCTACACACTCCATACTTAATGCAACTACTCAGAATATAAATCACTCAGGACAACAAAAACTCTGAGGAAAAAAAAAGTGTTCATGATCTAGATGTTTTAATATCATTCTGCTGTGCCCTAATGCTAATTTTAAACACTTAAATTTTTATGGTCTTCAGTTGATAATGACATTAAGTTCAAACTTAAGTGCATGGGAACAATCACCCACTCATTTTGAACAGCAGTAGAAATTACTTTTGTATTTGCCACAGATCTAGTTGAATTTTTTGCCTTTGTCTACATTTTAATATTAAAACTGTTAATTTCACACACTAATCACATTATAAAAAATTTACCTTTGGACGTGATGATTTCCCGTGCTTCATTTCTGCCTGAAAGACAATTCCGTTTGGGAACTTTGAGTAAAATTGCTTTTTCAATTAAACACGCAATCACTGTTTGTCTTCAATTATTTTACAGAAGCTTAAGAAGTGCTAGCAGCCAGTACCCTTAGAAGTTATGCACCTGCTTTAAGGATGAAGCCATGCATACCATATTCAAGCTCTTCCTGTCAAGCTCAACTCTTCCTTGAAAGAGCTGTTAAACTTGAAAATACCAGCTGGTAATGAAGTTCGAGAACCATGCTGAAGTATCCTGGACTACAAATATAACATATAAAATATACATAGCACATAATAATCAAGTTATGTTAGATTTACGCTGCCTCCTTAGAGCTAACTTTTAGTCTGCGTATTTGCATGCTTAAAGTTACATTTAAGAAAAGCATTCAGATGTTTAAGGCTGCTCTCTTTCAATAGCTTTGAAAAAGTTTTAGCAGTCACTGCAGCCCTTAAGATTTCATTACAGTTTTGAAACAAATGTGGTGGTTTTAAGAATACAGAAGAAAAAAAATGGAGAGATTTGTGCACGCCACATTCCACCACCTTCTCTAAACATAGATTAGGTTTATATGAATTTTACATTTACTCATACATCAGAAGACTTTCTTAAGTAGCAACAGTCCTCAGCTATCAAAAGTGAGATTCGCAGGAGACACTTGTCTTAAAGAAAACCTACAAGATATTTAATAAGGACAGGAAAACTACACTTTCTTAGTACTAAAACCCTAGAATCGCTTAGCTTGGAAAAGGACCTCCACGATCATCTTCTCCAACCTTTACCCTAGCACTGCCAAGCCCACCGTTAAACCATGTCACTGAGCATGTCATCTACGCATTTTCTGAAGTCCTCCAGTCCTCTGGGGATGGTGATTCAACCAGTTCCTGGGGCAGCCTGTTCCAGTACTTCACAACCCTTTCAGTAAAGAAATCCTTCCTGATATCCAACCCAAACCTCCCCTGGTGCAACTTAAGGCCAACTCTTCTCACCTTAACACTTGGTGCTTAGGACCAATCCCCGACATCGCTAAAGCCTCCTTTTAGGTAATTGCTGATCTCAAGAAAAACTCTTATAGGAAAGTTCCAACAAAGTAGCTACCCCTTATTAAGTATCTATGCCTACTGAAAAAACAGAGCATGGACAACCCAGCCTCAGAACCTCGCAGGCCGCTTGTTGAAAGCAGAACGCCACCTCTCCCACCACACGCACTGCCACAGCTCCACACCGAGCGGTGCCCACCCATAACTGAAAACGCAGCCCGCGTAACTCTCGCTATGCTTCTCCCCCTCACCCTACCGCGGATCCCCAGCGATTCCCCCAAGCGCACCCTCAGTCACCGCGGCACCTCCCGAGCCGAGCAGCGGGCACGGCCCACAGCCTCCCCCCCATCCCCCGGCGGCTCCCCAGGGCCCCCCCGCCCCGCTGGCGGCGCCCCGGCTTCGCACCCGCCTCATCCTCCCGCGGCCGCCGCCGCAGCCCCGGGCGAGCGCGGCCCCAGCTCCGACCTCCGCCGCTGCCCAGGCAGGAAGCTGCCCGCCGCCGCTTCCGCTTCCGGCTCAGGCTCTGCCTTTGCTTCCGCTTCCGCTTCCTCCTCTCCTCTCCTCACGGGGCCCGGCCGCCCCGGGGCCCCGCCGCCGTCCCCGCGGCAGCGCTCACTGCGCATGCGCGGCCGCCGCGCTCCCCCTCTCCCCCCTCCCCTCCGCGTCGGACCGAACCACTGCGTGTGTGGAGGGGGGGGGGGGGAGCCCCCGGCCGACACCGCCGCCGCGCTCCTCCCCTTCCGGAGCAAAGGGCCGAGGGGCGGCCGCCGCGGCTGCGGGTTTCACCGGCGCTTCACCGGCTCCGCGTAGGTCCCCTACGGGGGTGGCGGGCCCTTTCTTTCTCCCTTCCCTATTTCACGGCTCCCCCCCCCCCCCCTCCCCTCCGCCGGCGACACCTTCCCGCGCTCCGCTGCGGGGCCGTTGCGTTGCCATGGCAACGGCACTCGGGGGGGGGGGGGGGGGGGGCGTCGAGGCGAGGGGGCTGTTGCGCCGTAACCAGAACCGCAGGAACCCAGAGAACCCTCACGGAAAACACCTTAAATTTTCGTTCCTCCACAACTATATTGATACATTTATGTTTATATTTTATATTTATATATATATATATATATACATTTTCCCGTTTCAGCGAGGAAGGGTCTCGGATGGCTTCCCCGCAGCCGCCTCCTCGCAGGACGGTCGCCTCGCACGTGCCCTTCGCGGACCTGTGCGCCACCCTGGAGCGGATGCAGGCCTGCAAGACCCGGCCGGAGAAAACCAAGTACTTCAAGGACTTCCTGGACTCGTGGAGAAAGTTCCACCACGCTCTTCACCAGAAGGAGAAGGACGTCACCGATTCGTTTTATCCGGCCATGCGGCTCATTCTCCCGCAGCTGGAGAGGGAGAGGATGGCGTACGGGATTAAGGAAACCATGCTCGCCAAGCTGTACATCGAGCTGCTCAATTTGCCCAAAGATGGGAAGGACGCTGCGAAGCTTTTAAACTACAGGACGCCTGCCGGTTCGCGTGGGGATGCTGGAGACTTTGCCATGATTGCATACTTTGTCTTAAAACCTAGGAGCCCCAAACGAGGCAGGCTGACAGTGGAACAGGTCAACGAACTGTTAGATGCCATAGCTAACAATAATGCTGCTAGAAACAAGGGGCAGTTAAAGAAAAGCCTTCTTCAGTTAATTACCCAGAGCACAGCGCTTGAGCAAAAGTGGCTCATCCGGATGATTATAAAGGATCTAAAACTGGGTATTAGTCAACAAACTATATTTTCCATTTTTCATCCCGATGCTGTTGAATTACACAATGTCACGACAGATTTGGAAAAAGTTTGTAGACAACTGCATGATCCCACTGTCTCACTTAGCGATGTTTCTATCACGTTATTTTCTGCCTTTAAGCCTATGCTTGCTGCTATTGCCGATGTCCAGCAAATTGAGAAACAAATGAATAACCAGACATTCTACATAGAAACTAAACTGGACGGTGAACGTATACAGATGCACAAAGATGGTGATGTGTATAAATATTTTTCCAGAAATGGGTTTGACTATACTCAGCAGTTTGGTGCTTCCCCCCTTGATGGCTCATTAACACCATTTATTCATAAAGTATTTAAAGACAACATACAAAATTGCATTCTTGATGGCGAAATGATGGCTTACAATCCTGAGACACAAACCTTCATGCAAAAAGGAAACAAATTTGACATAAAACGAATGGTGGAGGACTCTGATCTGCAGACCTGCTTCTGTGTGTTTGATGTGCTGATGGTTAATGATCAGAAGTTGGGTCATGAAGCACTGAGCAAAAGGTACGAGATCTTAAGCAATGTATTTACCCCAGTAACAGGCAGGATACATGTCGTACATAAAAAAACTGCCAGAACGAGAAAAGAAGTAATTGATGCTTTAAATGAAGCAATTGATAACAGAGAGGAAGGGATTATGGTCAAAGATCCCATGTCCACCTACAAGCCTGACAAACGTGGGGAAGGCTGGTTAAAAATCAAGCCGGAATACGTCAATGGGCTGATGGACGAGCTCGACCTTCTGATAGTTGGTGGTTACTGGGGAAAGGGCTTACGTGGTGGAATGATGTCTCATTTTCTGTGTGCGATTGCAGAGACTCCCGCTCCAAACGAAAAACCTACTGTTTTCCACTCTATTTGTCGCATTGGCTCTGGCTACACTATGAAGGAATTGCATGATCTGGGTTTGAAACTGGCTAAACACTGGAAGCCCTACCATAGGAGGGACCCTCCCTGTAACATTTTGTGTGGCATTGAAAAACCTGAAGTGTACATTGAACCTTGTAACTCCGTCATCGTTCAGGTCAAGGCAGCTGAGATTGTTAACAGCGATATGTACAAAACTGACTGTACCTTGAGATTCCCCCGAATTGAGAAAATAAGAGAGGACAAAGAATGGTATGAATGCATGACTTTGGACATGCTCGCAGATCTCAGAAGTAGAGCAGAAGGGAAGCTGGCGTCCAAGCACCTTCATATTGACGAATATGATGAGCCGCAAGAGAAGAAAAGGAAAACTGTATCGAAGGTGAAGAAGGTAATCGGAATAGCCGAGCAATTTAAAGCTCCTGATCTTTCTAATGTAAACAAGGTTTCAAATGTGTTTGAAGATGTAGAGTTTTGTGTTATGACAGGTACAGGAAAACACTCCAAATCTGAACTGGAAAGCCGAATAGCCGAATGTGGTGGGAGTGTGGTACAGAACCCTGGACCGGACACTTACTGTGTCATCGCGGGAGCTGAGAACGTCAGAGTGAAAAACATCATTGCTTCCAACAAATACGATGTGGTGAAGGCAGAGTGGCTTCTGCAGTGTTTTCAGTCCAAAATGCTTGTGCCTTGGCAGCCAGCCGTTATGATTCACATGTCTCCTGACACTAAAGAACATTTTGCTCGTGAGTATGATTGCTATGGAGACAGCTACACAGCAGATACAGATGTTGCACAACTCAAGGAAGTATTCTCAAGAATGAAGGATAATAAAATAATGCCCTTGGACGTGATTGCTGAGTTAGAAGAACGTTACTCATGGAACAGCTGTCAACTCAGTATATTCAGAGGAAACACTATTTATGTGGACTGTTATGCTGTTGTTAATGAACCCAGAACCAAAATCCACGGAACAAGACTATCAATTAGAGCTTTGGAGCTCCGTTTTTATGGGGCAAAAGTAGTCTCTTGCCTTGAAGAAGGTGTCTCCCATGTCATTATAGGAGAAGATCATTCTCGGGTAGAAGAAATGAAAGCACTCAGGAGAACATTTGGGAAAAAATTTAAGATTGTATCTGAGCTGTGGGTAACAGAGTCGGTGAAGGAGGGAGTCCCAAAGAATGAAAATCAGTACTTGATTTAAAATAGTTTTTAATCTTAGAGTAAAGCATTCTTGTTGACTTGATTGGACTTGGGTATAATGTGTTTTCTTAATTTTTTCTGTGTGTTTTCATGTCTTATTAAACCTGTGGTTACACAATGATTGTTTTGAAATTAGAGGAAGATTTGTTATACTGTTGTGGAAGCAAGAGGATGCTAAGCTGTGCTGCTGGGGGAGTAAGAAGCCACAAGATAAATAATGTAAGCCTTTTACTTCACGTACTGGTCTCAGAAGAGATCTAATCTCTTCTAAGAGAATTCCTAACTACTGATAGTGTTTTTCTCTATGGTTCAGAATGGAGCCAATGATTCAGTATTTTATGGAAATTCTACTGTTTAATATGTTTATTTATTGATTTGCAATCACTTTCATGCTTTTGTAAAAGTGATATTGTGTATATTACATACGCTACATAATTCAGTAATTTATAAACCTTCTTTGTAGTGTTTTAACTTGTTTACACTGTTTTTAGCTTTAAGCTCCATGTAGCCTCAGTAGCACATTGGTTTTAGGATATTGCATTGATCTTATATTTCTTTTTATAAGTAAATGTACAATGAAACCTAAACTTCATATTGAGGTGCTAATGAACTAATATTTACTAATATATCTAAACTACAAATTGTTTACTTAACTGTAACGATGTCCTTTACCCATTATAGTTGCAGTTAAATCATCAAGCATTAGAGTGAGGCTTTTACTCTTTGGTTTACCTTTCAAAAATTAGTTCCATAAGCTATTTCAGTAATGAGATGAGTTTCCAAATATCTATTTCAATATATATATATATACATATATTAAATTATTAAATAAATATATTTTTCAAATGTGCCTGGTATTTTTTTTTTGTTGTTGTTGTGAGAACTAACTCTTGAAAAGCATGAAACAGTTTCTGATTTTACACCTAGATAACTGAATTAAATTTGCATAGGAAGAGAAGTTCAGACGTCAGTTCTTGTTATACAAGGTATCAAACAGAACTGGTTTGGGGCTGATCCCACAGAACCAGTTTCTGTCTGAGCTATTTGTTCAATGCTTTTTGTGGTTGCGTTCATTTAAAAATTGCTGTAAAAAGAATTGGGAAATGTTAGGCTAATTGAGAGGGAGTTTATTCTTATCTCTTATAGTTAGTGTAAGCATTTGGAGGTCCCTTACTCAAAATATTATAAACAGGTAAAAAGTAATTCAGGAGGTGTGCAGAGAATTTCAGGCATGATGTCTAAGGAGTAATAGAAGACAAGATTTGTAGGTAGATGTATGAGCTGATGTAGACTAGTAAAGGGTTTCAGTAACAAAAAGTCTATCTATTTGGATAGGTGTATATGTATATATACATTTTTTTTAAAGCATATAAAGCTGATTAGGTAATCAACATACATTAAAAACAGCATTCAACAAAAAGGAAAAGCTGGAGTGAAAATGCTGAAACATTTGCCTGATGTTTGAACTTTCAGAGGACCTCCTCTGATTACAGAGTATTGTACTCTTGTACTTTTTATTGCAGCAAATACTCTTGTTTTCTTAATAACATTTATATGTCTAAAAATGGGGATTTTGTAGGTGAAGATTTCTTGGCTTATTTACATTTTGTGTAAAGCTGTTTTTTATTTATTTTTAATTTTTTTTAATAGCCACTTGTTTTGAAAGCAAACCTAATTTACACTGTAACATGAAATTTATTTTAAGATGATGATGTTTGTGTAGGAGTTTCAGAAATAAGAGTGAGTTAACAGAAAACAAGGACTGTATAGACCTCGCACTTTCAGGGAAAAGTTTGGTATAATTCCTATTCTCTGTTACTTTTTGAAAATGCTGTCAGAGAAAGGAGAAAGAAGAGAGCAACTTTTAGGACTTGCTGGAGCAGAACACCTGGTATGTACCTGTCCTGTCTGCAGCAGCAGGTTGATGAATGATGGTCTGATTTCAGTGAGCAGTTGCCAAGGCACGTCTGCACAATCCAGAACTTCACAATCCCTGGGAGAAGGTTCCAGTGTTCTCTTAGTTTATGAAGCAATTCAATAAAACAGACTCACATCAAACTTTTTTTTTTTACTTTTTTTTTCCTACTTTCCAGTACATATAACTGGTGTAGTGCATTTTTGTAGCAAAAGCTTGTGGGCAGCTTATATGCAGTACCAGAAATCTTGTCAGGGGCTCTGGGAGGAATTCTTTTTCTTTTTTTTTTTTTTTTTTTTTTTTTTTCCTTCATATGATTTCTCTGCCTTTATCGGTGGAAACGCAGCATGTATTGACTTCAGTGCTAGTGAAATCTCAGCTGTGCTTGCACTTCAGAGAATGTTCCTCAGTTTCACATCCATGATGTAAAAATGATTGCCGGTGTTGTAAACAGGGATTATGCCAGGTATAAAGCTGTTACTGCTCTTTTGTATACTTCTATCATGCAAATGTAAGTAAACATGGCTGTTGAAAGTCAACATAGAATTGCTTCCCCTTCACACAGGAGCTCTTGCACCATTACAGGAAAAAGTAAGAAGCTAAAATCTTAAGTGTCATTCAGAAGGCATTGGAATGTGGTACTGGCAATATCTATTTATTCCTAGGATAATTTACTGAATTATTCTAATTCCATGAATACTTGGAACGTATCTGACTTGTCAAGCAAACCACTAGTGTTTGAATAAGCTAAAAATGAAAAATATGAAGAAAATTGTTTCAATTTTTTTGGGGAGGGGCAAGCTGTTTTCTGTGGGTAGTTTCTGCACCAATGGCAAAGTGAGAAAGCCTTGACCAGTTGTTAGATGTTTACACATCAGCACAACTTTTCTCGGTCTTCTTTATTTCACATTTCATCTGCTTGTGCGTGTACACTGAAAATAACTAAATGACATTCCTGCTATTTAAGGGGCTTAAGAAATATAATTATTCCATCTGCAGATAAATTTTAGAATATAGTCTTGTGAAATACTGTACTATTAACTGTTTAGTTATCTGTTGAAGACCTGAAAGTTTCAAATAGCACTGAAATTAACAGTGTGCATGCCATAGATTGCAAGCTGCATGCTGTTGAAGATGTATTATCTTAGTAACTTCACATTTGAAATACTGGAAGTAGTAACACTGGAGAAGCTCAACTGCATGGATGAAAAAAACACTTCCGTCTCTTTGTGCTACAGCTGGGCTGTAGTATTGCGGCAGCTTTGGGACTGTTTATGCAACTCTAAGTGTAGTAAATATCAGAACCAAATTCCTCCATTTCCCTCCTGCTCTTAGGAAGGTAAATTGCTGGAGAAAGAAAAGGTAGCTAGCTGTGGTGAATCAACACAAGACACTATTTTCACATACACTTTGCTTTAGTGCATAGTCATAGATAGCTAAATGAATGCTTTAAGTAAGCAGGCAGCTATAAAGAGTGTTTTGCATAAAATATGATGAAAAATCATTATTATTCAAACAGTTAATGAAAACCATCCCCTCTTAGTTGAATTAATCAATTTTTATTTTCTTTGCTTCTGAAGAACAAGGATGATTAATGTATTTAACCTGTGTAGCTAAATTATATTGTCATTTTATTTTGGTACTTGGCACACAATGATAACTTCCAAGGAAAATGATTTCAAACACACAGAAGAATGATTTCTGATGTACCAGAACTTCATAGGAAGGGAAGGAGCTGTCAGATCCCTCAGTGCAGCCACCTCCTCCTGGGGCTATGGCTGCCTGTGCAAAAGGCTAGCTCTTATGTGGTGTAGCTGTGTTACCTTGCTCAGAGAGCTGTGAAAAGAGGTGCAACAAGCCTTGTTGGGAACCTGTCTCAATTTACATGTATTTGGAAACTGTGTTTAAGTTCAAGTCCTTGGTTGCAGTCTTTGCTGTCATGATCTTCCAGCTGTGCTTGACCATATACCTCACTGATAGCAATCCTGACCTACTGAGTGGACTTGCTGTCTTGATGTTGCGCCCACCTCATCACCATACACTTACCTATCACAGGCTGACCGTGGCTACTGCCACTGGGCAGTTTTGCTCATCTCTCATGGGACTCACGTAGTGGGACTGTGCCGTTTGCTGTTGAGGACACTGCCTCATGCCATTGCTGTCCCCTCGGCTCCCAGCACTCTGCCCTTCCTGGAGCAGCCCGCTTGCACCTCTTGATCTTACAGGGAATTGCACAAGGGGAACCAGGATTCCTTGCTTCTCTTCTTTAGGCGTACCTCACCCCCCACAGAACCCCTTTCCCTGATATTCATCCGATATTTAGTTTGGATGTGGATTGCTTTCTGGGGTGAAATTTGAAAATTGTGGAAATCTTATAAAATTTTGCCATAATACATCCTTTTGGAGAAACACTAAAACCAAACCAAACAAAACCCACCTGTGTGGCACCTGTTGGTCAATTTTCACTCACACTTCACTAAAATAGTACATCTGCATGTCTTGATTCTGCATGAATGTCTTTGTAAAGCACAGGTCCATTTATTCAGGTGAAAAGCGATCAGACAAAATCTCTCAGTTTTGTCAGCTATGGCAAATGACAGATTAGGTATAAAATTCCTTTGATGGCACCCCGATTTAATGATGGTGACAGATTTTAAAAAGCTCTTTAATTTGCTAGTGAGATTGACACAATTTTTTTATAATGTTCAGTTTCAGTCTTTTTGAAAACAAACATATAATAATCATAATAAAAACAAAACAAACAAACAAAACAAACAAACAAAAAAACAACAAGCCACGGCATTTAATCTTTCAAATTCATAGGTAATTTCAGTTTGAATTCTTCAGAAGAGGGACTTGAAGTTGCTAGTTATAAAATTTCCTGTGAAGGAGAAAAAAATGTTCATTTGAAGGTGACTTGGGAAATGCCTGGTAACGTAGTTAAATTGAGCATAAAACTTGTGCAGCTGGTAACAGCTGTCATACCACAGTACAGTGGATGGGCCTATAAAATTTTATTGTACTGCTTTTTGCTATGAGTGGATAGGAATGAGGGAACAGTCTGTAAGTTTGAATTATAATACCAACCTAATGGTAAAGGTGGAGCTTGTATGTAAAGATAAAATGTTTTTCCATGTTACATTCTAGAAGTATGAAAATTAAGAGTTATCTATCCTGAAATTATTTTCTTTTAGATATGATATTGCTATTACTTTTTGTAAAGTTCACATTGGCCTTTTGGGATAGATTCAGATACAAGCCTTAAGAAGGTCCTTGACACTGTCTTCCATTACATTCTCATAGACAGCTGATGAAGTATGGGCTAGAGAAATAAACAGGAAAGTGGGCTGAAAACTGGCTGAACTGCCAGCCTCAGAGTTGTGATCAGCAGCATGAGGTCCAGCCATATATTAAGCAAGAGTAAAATCATAGAATTTATGTAGTTCTGTACTGTAAAATCAATAAACAAGTCCCTGGGAAACAAAACAAACAAAAAACCCACCACCAACAAAACAAAACCCAAAATATAAAAGTTTGTTTCTAAAAGTCAGACGTTGAGTTACAGTGAACATGAACACCAAGGTGCTATAAGTATTTTTTAAAATCTCCTGAACAGTGGAAAAGAACTCACTAGCCAATTAAGTATACATGTTTAAATAATAGCCAACTGTGTGAGAACAGAAGAGCTTTATTTCATTTTGAGGTGTTTCACAGCTGTATCAGTTTTGAAAGTGAAAACAGGTTCAGTAACTGAACTGCTTTCATCTGGTTGCCTAGCCTTGATCCAGAGGTGCTTAAGTAAAAGTTGCTTTCTTGTGCTGGAAGACTTCAAAATCATGAGCACAGCCCTAGACCCCAGGGTCAGACTCTGCAGGCTGGTGGGATCAAGGCAAGAGGTAAGTTTCCTCCAAGTTCTTGCATATGGCAACTTTTCCCACAGCCCATGTGCTAAACGTTGCCCCTGCAGGCATTACTCCAGCAGCATTGAGGTGCAGTTTGCGCTTTCAAGGCTGTGTTTTCAGCCTCCGGTTCTCACACCTGCAGTTAATGATCTTCTGGTGTAGGGTTAACCACTGAGAAGCCAAAACATGTAACAGTGTGGTCAAAGGCAGGTGGATAGATATTGTGTGTCTGCATAGATACCTGTAGTGAAGAAACAGACAGTAACAAACATGTGTCTCATTTTACATTTTGTGGTTTCTTTTTTCTTGCCTTCTCTCCCACAGCTTCTCCCCAGCCTTAGCCTCTTCTAACTGGCATGTTATAGATTTTAAATACCAGGCTTGTGTGCTGCCAGAGCAGAATCAGTTTGTTCATCAAGTTAGTCTAAAGCTAACTTGAGTACCCGTGTTACACTTCAGTTATTCATACGAACATGCTCTATATGATTATACCAGATGTAGTTAAATGTGTCTCAGAATTATTACTTTTTTAGTTAAAATCCCTGAGTGCTATTGGGGTAATAAGAAAGATTTAAACAGTGGCTGCTGCCAACAAATTGAAGCTTATGTAAGGCAAAAATTAATATGAATATGACAGATCTCACAGTAAAACCCCTGAACAGGGTTGCCTGAACAGAATACAAATAAGCAGGATGGCTTGTTTTGTTGATTCCATTTAACTGTAAGAGAAGGATAGCAGGTACTCGGTAAAACTGTGTGACAGCGGTGTAAGAGCAACCAGAACAGAAAAGTGAAATCATGTGCATTAACAGATTTCATAAATTAAAGTTATAAGAGAAAGAAAAAAATAATTTTGCCCCCACTTTTTTTTTTTTTAACTTTTTTTTTATTATTTTTTTCCCCTCTGTTTTATGTGGTAAGTCTAGAAGCACTTTATATATATATATATATATATATATATAAATACATATACATATGTGTATATATATATATATATATACACATAAATTCTTATGTTTGATGAAGTGTTTTATAACCAACTGTTGTACAGAGATCTCATGAAAATTCCTGGCAGACACTCTGTATGACATCTGAGTTGTAGTACAGGTAACATTAAAGTACCTGAACATTCAAGTATTTTATTTTTTAGTAAATGGAGGACATAAAGCAACATCTTTCCACTGGAAAGAATCACAGAATATTCAAATTGGAAGGGACCCACAAGGATTATCAAGTCCAACTCCTGGGTCCCCAAAGGACCAACCAACCAACCAAACAAACAAACAAAATACTAATAATAAAACAGACCATGGCCAGACCATGTGTCTGAGAGTGTTGTCCAAACACTCCTTGAATTCCGGCAGGCTTGGTGCCATGACCACTGCCCTGGGAAGTCTGTCCCAGTGCTCGACCACCCTCTGGGTGCAGACCCTTTCCCTAACCCCCAGCCTGACCCTCCTCTGTCCCAGCTCCATGCCGTTCCCTCGGGTCCTGTCGCTGTCCTCAGAGAGCAGAGCTCAGCACCTATCCCTCTGCTCCCCTTGTGAAGAAGAGAGCCCTGGCTCTTAACAAAATAATGGGATAGGATAAATATTCCGTTGCATATGTTTTGGATGATCTGCCTTCCTGACCTATAGTTTTGGTAGACATGGCCGATTCTCAACCTTTCCAAAATCATACTTGTGTTTTGTCTTATAGTGCATTACCTTTTCATGTAAAATGCATTTAGAACTACATGATATTTGTCTTTAAATGCATGAATGCACATGGCATGTGGAAGGTCTGTCTTTGTTTATGAATTCTGGTCTGGCTTACACAGTTCTGTGGTTATGTTGGGTGCTGAACCCTTGGAGGCTGTCCAGGGTCAGACCGTGGCTCAGTCATGGCCCTGCTCAGGATTTCTGCTGCTGCTCACTGGTCTGTCCAGTGCATCAGTGAGCTCTAGGGACTGCAGGGCAGGGACAGGGATTACTAAATCTATTTTATTTCCTGGAATAAAGTATCCACAACCTGCTAGAGTATGTGTAAATGTGCATACTATCTACATGCTTCCCTCTCTCTCTATATATACACACCCAATATATAGATATATAGATATATAGATATATGTGGTGTTTCTGACCACTCCCTTCTGCCTTCACCTCTTTTTCTTCCCTCTCCACTGCCAACACCGAGAAATACATTTAGAGATCCCAGCAGTGAATGGGAAGGCAAGATGACAAGAATCTGTGTTAAGGTGTCTTAGTATTGGTGCACACAGACTACCTCACACTCACCTTGCTCATCCCCCAAGCTAACCATGCTTGCTGTTGCTGTCTGGATGTGACTTACATATGGACCTCTTTTCCAGCCAGAAAAAGACACCATGGCAATTTTGCTTGGTTAACAGAAATAAAAAGTTGCCAGGACTCGGTTTAAGGTGCATAATCACTTCATGCATATTGATGCCTGCTAAACAGAATGAGTAGTTCCCAATTATGGCTCCTTAGTTTGTAATGTCAGTCACCAGCTAATTGTGGTCTGCCCTCAGAGAACCACAAAGTGACTGGAACACAGGGAAATTGTTTTTTTCATATCTGAATGCCAGGTGGAAGGTTACTAAGCAGCAAACCACATGATAAGGGATGCCACATTTCTCATGATAGTTAATTTTTTCATTTCTTGCAATAGGCTGGCTATGTTTACAGCTGCACCTGTGGCTCGGACCAAGTCCTTCTAGCCTGTGCTTGGTCAGTGGAAAATGCTATTTGGTCCAGGCCAAAACTACCAGAGATTAGACTATGCTACAATTTACTGTTATGAACAACAGCATGATAGTGGTAGGCCTGTGTCCTGGCTCTGCTCAGGGCAGGTTCGCTGGCCAGAACCAAAACTAAGCCTGGGATGAAGGAGCAAAGCAGAAAGAAGCCCTGGGACAATGAAAAATCCATGCTAAATCTCAGATTGTGCTCAGGAGCAGAGAGGAAGCATGGGAAGCACCATGAACTGTGTTTCATGGTCCCTAAGTTCTGCTATGGGAATTTAAGCTCATGGGAAGTCTTGTAAATATTTACTGTTGGAGAATATTTTCATCAGAGGCAACACTGAAACAGAATGAGCACCCAGAGGCTGAGAAGAAAGACCATAACGACCACTTACACTGACTGAGGAGAGATGAAGACCACTATGTTGAGCCAACAAAAAACAGCCTGGTGTGAATGTCCAGCAGAATGACAAAAATGGCAGGGCTTGGCTCATCTGTTCCATAATCGTCATCCACAGCTGTCTGCCCTTTGACTAAATTCCAAAATTCCTGAAAATAATTTTAATATTCTTTTATCATCTCACAAAGGTTTTAGTGATCAAAAAGCATGCAACTCACAATTTATCTTTTACAATTATATTAAAAGCTAACAAGAATAAAAGTAGAGATTAAAATCATTCAGCAGTGTTCATACAATAATAGTTCCCTGAAGATCATCACAAGCAATATAAAACAGGCAGGAACCAAATAGTCAGGCAGGTGGCCAGCATAGATAACTTGACTCATTAGTATTGAGCAGAAATAGTCTTGGCTTTGTTAGTCAGCCTAACCACTACATTTTTTTCTCTATCTTTTATCTCCTACTTACTCATTTTATGTGGGGTTAAACCCTGCAGAATCCTGTGCTAGGTCTGGATTTAAATGCTGATAAAAGAGGGATACAGGCTATTTTAATTAACATATATTTGGCAGGGCAGCTTGGAAGTTAGTTAAACGCAGAAAAGGACTTCAGTCACTGACATTTAGCAGTATGGGCAGTAATGGTGTGAAATAATTTCTGTGTACAAGGATTTCAGGGTAGGTTGTCAGTGTTACAGCCATGAATATACCGTGAGTGGTTTCAAGACCATTATTTCCAAGGATGAAATAATTTCCCTTAGCATAGCTTCCTAACTTAGATGTTGACCCTTCAGCATTATGTGCATCTAACTCCAAACAGTGATCAGGCTACTTAACAGAAATGCTTAAAGTTGCTAAGCAGCCTCTGGGGAGCTGCAGAGAGAAAACAGTTATACCCTTTTCCCATTATTTGTATGGAAAACTTAAGCATTTCCACAGTGCCTTGCCACTGTTGGTTTGGGTGTCTAGCTTGTCTACTGGACCTGTAAACTTAAGGCTTTGTGAACACTTCCTAACATAGAGTGGGCCCTCTTCCAAGGGCTGCTTCCTAGTAAAATGGTCATCTGCTATGGCATATGCTCAGATCCCAGGAAGCCAGAAGTAGAAACACACTTTCGATCTGTCCCAAAGAACCTAACAAAGTGAAATCTGATTCCCTTTGGCTCTTGACATCTCCTGCTTCATGACTTCTACAACCCAGTATGGATCCAAGCTTTGGGAGATCAGTTCAGAGAGCTTTCATCCAGTATATTCTTCCCTCCTATATACTTACCTGCTGTGTTTACAGTCTGGTATCTGGTGACTTCTTACTGCCTGAGTAGGTACTCTGACAAATGTACTGTTGTACCAAAAGAGGTCTTTTTCTAGAAACCCCATAATCTGAGTGGAATTCTGTCGAGAACTGAGAAAAATGTTGTTGTGCAGAGAAATCTTAACCCTTCCCCCCCACCCCTCCCTCAGATTTAGATATCTCAGATAGGACTCACACAGCATAGATTCTTCCTGAAGTTAAGTGCACTTAAACTACCTTTTGAAAAGCACTGGTCAAGGTCCAGATTTTGCTTTTAAAATGGCTTTATAAACTGGATTTGGAGCTGAAGTACTTGCTGTGGCAAGTTTCAGTCCCTGCTCTCAAATCTATTTATTCATTTTACATGTGAACCCAGTCTGTACATAAAATGAGAAATCATGATGGGAATGGAGACGGTAATCCAGATAAATGCCCTAGCCACTGGCCCACAGGTTCTAGTGAGGGGTCTGCTGATGATGCAGGGAAGACTATTTCCAGAGTTCTCACGTAGAGAAGAGAGAGTTCAGACATCACAGCTCTTGTTCTGGTTGAAGACATGCATACATTTTCCTAAGCATCAGCTCAGAGATTCTGTCTGAGAAAACAGTTTACTTGTCAACTACTGTACTGCTTCTGACTGAACAAAATGTTAGAAGGTACTGTGGTCCAGTTTGAGAGGGGAACACATACAGCCATATTTCAAAGTCTGGGCCATACAATGGATAGCAGAGATCATTTTACACATATACTTTTCTGTAGGTAACCATGAAACACACCTCAAAACTTTCTCCCCCTTCAAGCTCTACAACCAATTGATTTTGTCCTGGACAACTTTATCCATTTACAAGGAGACTACATCAGCATCACATACACACCTTTAAAGTGCATAGCAATTATTTGTTAATTGGCACATATGAAGGATTTTCTTAAAGAAAGAGGTGAAATGCTAGTGCTCTCAGTCTTTTCCCCTTCCTATGTGACACCCACAGATTTTGCTAACCAGAGGGGAGCCAGGAATGAGGCTGAGCCAAGAGGATTCCCAGCTTCGTCAGGCCACAGAGCTTGCGTCTGCTGCTCCCTGGATCTTAGCTCTTCCTGCACTGTTAAATTTCACCTCTCTATTCATCCTTTATGATTTTTTTTCCTTTTGCATCTTTTTTTCCTCTTGATTCCTCCAGCTGCTAACAGTCTCAGTTTCAACAAACCTACCTGCATCTACATTTTCACCTTTCTTATCTCACAAGGCTCCATTCTGCAGACTTTCTTACAGCTCTTTCTCACAAATTAGCAATTTGCTCAGAAGTGTGAGCCAAGTTTCCCTACTGGAGCTATGTCGTAGATTCTTGAAATGCATACAACAGAACCCTACAAGGAGGGAGGAAAAGCTGAAAGGGGGAGATTAAAAATGGGCTACACTCATAAAACATACATATTTTTAATTGAACTTGAAAGGCATCCTCATTTTTGGAATAGATTCAGAGAAAAGCTACGTGCATCAAGTGCTGTGTATAGTGATATCAGCTTCCCAGGGTCTTGCATCTTTTCTTTCTTCTCTCACTTGGAAATTTCTATGTTAATCATAATGTGGGAAAATTAGAGCCAAACTGAAGAGAAATGCAACTTTTTGAGAGTGGGACCTCTTCATGCAGAAATCAGTATTATCTGCTTGATCCCTCTGCCTCACCTCACATTTATGTTTTCCTAAAAGAATGGGCATTGAGCAATCAAAGTGTAAATGACAGTGTTTGTGTTTATTCATATCTAATAACTTGTGAACCAAAGAGCTGATTCTAACTAAATTTCTCAAAGGAACAGTGATATTCCTCTCTCTGCCCACTCTTCTTCCCTGGCTCTAATGAAGTAGGTGACTGAGAAGAAGAGGGAGAAGCCATTAATGGCCTCTTTGAGGGAGAGGCTGTGTGAACCCATCTTTGAAAGAAGAAATTATAAAAACCTTCCAGATACTGGAATGAGTCCCCCACTGTATTCTCATCACATAGAATCATTCAACCCAAGTCACAGCAGTATGAAGACAAGTTTCTTTGGCTAGCAATGCTATTACAGTTTTTTTTTTTTTTTTTTTTTTTTTTTTTAAAGGAATATTCAATGAATCAAAATCCTACAAAAAATAAAAGGAGAGCGTACTCATATCATAAAGTAGTTTCAACTTGGAAAGCAACAGAAGAACAGAAAGACAAAGATAAGGTAAATGGACCGGTAGACTGAAAACCGTTCCAGATTGGTGCTTTTAGTTCCATAAACCAAATGATCACCATTCCTACAGCATATAAAGTGTTTGATCAATAACAGACTTTCACTTCAAAATCATGTGATTCAATTTTGTTTTGTATCATGAGGTGTTTCAGTGCTTCACAGAAGTTACTGGGCATTCTGCTGGATGATGGAAAGCTGTACCATCCAAACCTATAGGAAAACTGTTAATTTTATAGATTTTTTGGTAATGCAGATTCAGAGCATACATTTTCCTCAAGAAAATGGTTTGGTAAGGTCTCATGTCATACTGTCAGTTTTAATAATTCCGTGCTGAAGAGGTATATCTGTTTTCTCCATGGATCACAGTGTAATGCTATTTACATGAATAACAACAGCTTAAGGAATAGCTAAGAGATTTATAGGTCATAAATTTAAGAAATAAAAAACAAAAATAAATGTGTATTTCTGTGGATAGAAGGGGAGTTCTGAAAACTCTTCTACTGATTTAAAAATGTCGTCTGTGCAAAACTTATTTTTTATGATCCAAAGGATAAACTAAAATTCATGCTTGATATTGGAAGCAGATGCAGTAGCTTATATAAAAATTAATTGTCCCAGGAAAAGCAAACTCAAGAGACAAAGAAACATCCTTGTGTTGTAAATGATTTAGACATTAATGAGTCCATGTTCATCAACAGTGATGATTGTTAGCACTTAAGACAGCATAAAACATCAATGTCTCCTTTTAAAGACACTTATAAAGCAGACAAATTCTAAAGCAATCAGAGGGGAATGAAAGTACTTAAAAATGAATAACAATCAAATCAAGCAATGACTATGTTTTTTTTGGTTTTTTTTTGGATGGTTCTTGTTCTCTGTAACCCAATATCACTGACAGCAACCAGCTCTTAATGCAGACAAAAGGTTTCTTATGAATACTGAGTTGACATTTGAAGTCTTCTGATAAATCGGTTTAGGGAATACATGTGTAGGTTAAAAATTCAGCTAACATATAATTGTGTAAAATCAACCAGAGCAATGTAACTTTAACTTCCTGAGCACAAAGAATAAAACAAAGCTGCTGCTTTTTATGTTTTAGAAATTGATTACCTAGAGTTTGTAAATATTGAATGAATGGAGTATTGAATCCACAGTTCTTGAGTCATCAGTCAGTATTCCCAAGTGCATCAGTGAACAAGGCCAGTGTATGAACTACAATATTACAGGAATTAAACATTTAATCAGAAAATCTATGTTTGAAAAACACCCATCAGCTTTTACCAGCTGGCCTTTAACTTGTAATTAGTAGTAGTTCTAATAATGCAGAAAATGTAATGATTTGCTCCTTAGATCATCCATCTAAGTCCTTTAACATATGAGCACATCGTTATCCTCATTTTGTTAAAGCTGCAAAATGGGATTTAGCCATTAAACGCTCACCTTAGGCAGAGTTCAGGGACTTCTAATTAGCACCAAAATCCTGGGAGTCCTGTTGAATTGCTACTAAACCTTTATACATTCTTTGGTACCTTATCTTAAAAAACATTTTCTCTTCTGCTACTGGGTATGTAGAGCAACATCTCAGTTTTCACAGCACTGAGCAACTCTGTGTTGTTGGTGGTGAAGGCTGATGATAATCCACAATTTATCCATCCGTCTCTCTGCAGGGACTCAATCCAGTCAGCACTTCAAAGCATGCCTACTGGTGTGGATTCAGCCTAACATGCATTGAAATTCACCGTTTCTTTAAAATGATGCTGGTTGTCATTTCATGCAGGATGTGGGTGACTTATGCTGAACATCCTGTGGTGAAGTGGCTACAGGCTGACTTGTGCCAGGAAACCCAGGCAAGCAGGTTCAAGGCTGCATGTTACTGTGGGCATTCTGCCTTTTCTGTGGAAGCTATAGAGGAGTGCTGCATTGCTGACACTGCTTCAAGAGGTGTACACAGATTTTATCCTGCATGAGCTTAATACAGAATGAGTAAACAATCCTTCACAAATGGATTCAAGTTTACAGCTTTTACATCCCAAAACATCACAGCCATGTTTTCATTTACAGTTTAATATATTAGGTTTGTACAGATATATGTATAGCTTTATACATCCATATTAACTTTGTGCATATACATGCACACACACACATATAAAACAGTTGTCCTCCTACAGAAAAGGTCTCAGCTGTGTATTTTAACTAAATGGAAAAAAATGTATCTGAGTAGCCTGGAGTTTTGTGTCTAAGCCTTGGAGACAGGTGAGCTTTCAAGTGTATCCATGTTCTTACTTATTGGTCATGCCTCCTTAGAAACTAAGAGGAAAAGTAAACCTTTTTCTATATGCACTTGTGTATAATTTTGTTTCCTTATGCCTTTATACATACCTAGAGAAGAATTAGAGCTATTCAGAGTTTCCTTTTGTATGTACTCAAGAAGTGAGATGAGCCACGTGAGCTACTAATCTGTAGAAAGAATTGCAGAATATTTGTGGTATAAATTAAGAGTTAAAAAATAAATTAACCTTACTGTTATAGAGAAAACCAAATAATGGTGATTATAGAAATGACATTTTAATAAAAGGAGAAAAAAAAAAGAGAGAGACAAACATCTAGATACTCATCTTCTTCATGGTTTAGTACATCTGCATAAGTATTTCTTTCAAAGTAGGAATGACATTAGTTTGTATCAAAATGCTGACTTTTGAGAAGAGCATCTCTTTTATTCTGATGGTATTGTCAGTGAAGCAGTATTTCATCTACAATAATAATTGACCTTTTTTTTTCTTTTTTCTTTTCCTGCATTTGAAAGAGCCTGAAGATACATTGCTGTTTCATTGTTGAAAATGCATTTGCTGTTAATGCTAAATAAAATCAACACATGCAAAAACCCCTAAGTCTAGTGCAGCAACAGCAAATGATTTCATTCATGTGCCATCCCTGTAACAGATGAAAGATCAGAGGCTATCAGAAAAATGCAAAGGAGTTCAGTGCTTTGGCTTGTAACATTTGTATTGCTTTCATCCTGCCAACTGCTTAAGCATATAGTTAATTTTAAAGCATGGAAGCTGTTCTACTGATTCATGTATTCTTAAATTCACTTTTAAAGGGCATGTATTTAAGCATGTGTAGGTTTGGATTTAAATTTAAAATTTAGTTTTCTCATAAGATGTGCAGAAATTATTCCAGATATCTTTACACACAAGTAACATTTAGGCCAAGCTTTCAATATATGAAACTCAACCATCATGCAGCCTTTGACTTCAGTACTAGTTTACACTAGTTGCAATCAAACTGTTTTATTTAGTCTAGAGCATAGTCAATTTTTTGGTGTATTTGGTTGAGAGATTCTGGCAGGTGAAAGCACAAAGCAGTCTGGAAACAATTTCCTTGTCAGATAGTATTTCTGGAAACATCCTGCAGGGTTCAGCAGAACAGAAACAGCAGCACTATAGCTGAGACATAGGTAATCTCTTCTCTACTCTGTTTTGACTAACTCAAAGCAAAATAAAAGGAAAAATAAAAACGTTTGGACAGAAAAAAAATGTTACTAAGAGAGATTCTCTTGACTAATGTATTTGTCTGACAATGAAATAAGGTGTATTTGCTCTAAAAGATGTACTGCCACTGAGGCAGTCACAAATGCATGTACCCATATATACAGCAGGTTGCTCTGATTATTAAAATATTTAATTTATGAGACACCTACATAAAAATGCTTCATAATTTATGTTGCCTACAATAAGAAGCAGAAAGAAAAGGAAAATGTTGCAAGATGAGACATGTCTGAACAAACATTATAGCTGTTAAGCAACAACAAGATGACAGGAAATGGCCTAGATACTCAAAGAGGCATGGCATCTCTCCAGAGAAGCAGGGATTTTTTACAGTAAGACAGAGGTGATCACTAAAACAGAAATGAAGTTTACTTAACATCCATCACCTGATGTAATTTCTGGACCAGTAATCTTTTTCCCTTCCCTTCCCTTCCCTTCCCTTCCCTTCCCTTCCCTTCCCTTCCCTTCCCTTCCCTTCCCTTCCCTTCCCTTCCCTTCCCTTCCCTTCCCTTCCCTTCCCTTCCCTTCCCTTCCCTTTCCCTCTCCCTCCCAAAATTTTTTTCTTGATTCTTACCTTACTTCAGTTTACTAAGCTAATTCAGACTCAAGGAGTAGTTATCATGACTGATGGTGTGACACTGAAGGGATCATGAATAATGAGGATATTCAAGTAAAACCAACTCCAACTGAAATTGCCTTTTTTTCTTCTTTTTTTTTTTTTCCCCCTCTTCACCAACAGGTGGAAGGAAAGAGCTCTGGATTTCCTGGTTCAGTGGATCCCAGGCAGCACATATATTTCTCTGCAGTGGTCACCATGTACAAGTCACAATTGAAGTGTGTTCCACTGCTTTCAGGGAACACACCTACTGGCATTACTGCTGCTAATGGTGATGCTCAGAAAAGATTCAGGAAGCTCTGCTCTGAGTAAGGATGCAATAGGGCTTGTGAAGGCAACACAAGAACATATGGCAAAATGTTTTGACATTGTAACAGGTAGAAAAAGGGAGCTCTGAGAGTTGTTAAAATGCAAGGAAATCAATCAAGTCTAGCGAGATAATGGTTATGAGTGAAAGATTTAGAGATTATAAATATATTGGGAGGGAAAGAAAGGAAAGCAGAGAAGACATACTAGGAAAGAAAAAAAAAAAAGAAGAGAAGATTCAGTTTTGAAGAGGCTTTTGAAGTGACACCTGAAAGTGCCAAGAAAAAAGTGTCTAGAGGCTGCCTTAAATGTAGACCTGGATGAAGGGAGCAAAGGGTTAGAGAGAAACTTTGGTGAGGTCATTTGGTAAAACAAAGAAAAAGTAGAGGGACAAGACAGGTGATCATAAAAACTACATAAGCAGCAAGGAAAAGGAATAATCTTGTACTCTTATTGCTGTTGTTACTAATAGCACTTTAAATTAAACAAATTGTTCCTATCTTTAACATGGATAAATGGTAGAAAAGTGCACAATGGCCTGAGTGGTAGGTTGCACTAGGGTGATCAAGCCTTTTGATGTTTTTGGCAAATGGGATAGCTGCATGGGGTTGGGAGGGAAGTAATATCTTAATCCTGTCATGTGGGACTGCCTAGATGATGAGAGGAAAAGGTATCAAAGTACCCAGAATAGAAACATTTCCTAAATTTCCACGCATCTTAGGGTCAAGCTTCTGATATTACATATAAATATATATTATATATCAATCATGTCAGAAAATATTTGGATGAATAGATAATTCAATTAGTATCAGAGAGAGAGATCAACAATCTAGCTCTATTTAAAACATAAGGCAGGCTGCTTTATTCAGGTTTAAAAGCCCTGCAATTGCAAACGCAATTTCAGTTTCTTACAGCAGGTGGTGGTATGTGCTATTAGAATAAAATATTTGCTTCCAAGAAAGACTGTTGCTTACTTAATAAGAACATGAGTAGAATGGGCAAGAAAATACTATAGATGTGTTGGAAACTTGTAGATTCAAAAAATGAGTATTTATTACTTTTATTTTTAAAGCTTCCTGCTCTTGTGCTATATGAACACAGGTCTAACATTTGGACAGTTATAGACAAGCCATAAACATGGTACCAAAATTAACCCAAATAGCTTAACTCTTACAGGGTGGTTTTCATCCATTAATCCCACATTATTTTATAAAAGACTCATATAAAACACTTTATAACAAGATTTAAATTAAATTTAGTCTGGTAAAGCCAAAGCTGTAATTCTGGTAATCCTCTTTTAGTTGCTCCCTGATACTGGGGTGAGCCAAATCTCTGGGATCTCTGCCACAGAGTCCACCAGATGCATGGGTGCTCTTTCTACACGTGGAGCTTTGCATACAGCTGCCCAAAGCTCAGCTGGGTCTGATCCAAAAATTATTGGGTCTAGGGACTAGGTGTTCCTACACTTATATCCCTGAACCACTATGTATGTATGCATCATGCATACTGCTGACAAGATGAGGCTCCTTGAAAAGGAAAATGCCTGGATCCTTGGTAGAAATAATTTGTTCCTGTGGTGTTTCAGGGTATACTCAACATGTCTCCATTATCTCACTAAGAATCTGACAACTTTAGACAGTCCTCTGCTTAGCATGATGTCTGATTCAGATCCTTCTTTCCCTGATTTTCCCTGAGTAAATCCCCAGAGGACCCTGGATTCCTGTCATGAGGATCTAATGTGAAAAATAGGGACTGCAATATCCACTTCTTTTGTTGAACCCACTTTTGACCCCATATTTACATGGGTTTCCCACATGTGGAGTGAGATGCTGTGATCAGAAGCAGCATCCCTGGCCCAGCTCCTCTGTATTTTCTGTTGGGTGGGGGAATTCTGACAGCATCTTCTAGACTGGAAGTCCAGAGGTGAGATAAGAGGACATATGATTAATGAGTAACAGGAATTAGTGAGATGTTTACTTGCTTCCAGGCTGCAGCTAGTTCAGGGTGAAGCTGGCAGCAGATATTTAGGGTACATTTACCCATAAAATTATAGTTACCATGGCATTTGAAATGCTTACAAGAGTCATAAAGCAATAAAGATAGTTGTCAAGCAGCTCAAAGACACAGCTAGGAACCTGAGTCCTTTTGTGAATTTTTGTAGGTTAGCCTTCAGTCTCTAAAGGCCTTTTGCCCTCATTTACTGCATTAATACAATATGTCTAAAGGTTGTTCCCCTCGTGATATTAATTTAA